TGAACTTTGGACGCAGTTATTCTTCCATACCTTAACTCATGCCATAACGGTGAACTTGCTTGACAAACTGTTACTTCTTCTGCTTTAGTACACTCTTCTATGGTGATTTTAGTAGAAATAATAATAATCAATTAAATCATCTGCACTATTAATATTATTGCCTTCCTTTTTATATTGATGAACGAGATTATGCAAAGACAATTTTTTAAACTGGTTCTTTGTAACGTATGCTGATAACTGATTTTTAATAGAATTTTCCTTTAGGCTTTGCACAACCGCTAGGAAAAACTGGTCTCTATTGTTCAATGTTCAGAAGAATATGTAGGTGGACGGGTTAAAATAATCCACATTAATCAAATACTCGTTTAATTTGCACTTTAGAGAAGAGTATCGTATAGTACAATTAGAATTTTGGACCGACATGTAGCTCGCGTGTGAGATAAATGGTGAATGCCAATTAGTAAGTAAAAACTGCGTCCGGTGGCGGGGGCTCGCAATGCCTATTTGTGCAGATCATAGCTTAGAAGGCGAAACGGCGTAAACATCGTCCCGGCCCTTGAAGGCGAAGGCCTTCAAGACTCATCCTTGTCCGAAGGGAGAAGACAAATGCGATTAATAGCTCGTCGAATTGTATCTCGTGAAGTTGCTATGTCTGCCACTCGCGGTATGTTGTCCGACCCATAAGATAGTTTGACTACTCTTCCAAGTCGCCATTGTAAAGGTGGTAGATTTTCTTCCTTTACAAGGACTAAATCGTTAAGTTCAAGGTCCTTGCATTTCACCTTCCACTTGATACGTTGTTGAAGCTCGGCTATGTATTTAGTGACCCAACGCTTCCAAAAATGCTGCCTCATAGTCTCAAGTCGCTGAAATCTATTCAAATAATTAAAATTGTGCTCCATATAATTTGGACCTGGTAATGCGGTCAATGGTCTGCCTATTAAAAAGTAGCCCGGTGTGAGGGGGCTATAATTGTCAGGTAAGGAACTGAGAAGACAAAGAGGACGGAAGACATTGAGGATTGCCTCGACCTGTGAAAATAAAGATGATAGTTCCTCATAAGTTAAATGACTATTGCCTAATATGCGTGTGATGTGGAATTTAGCTGACTTCACGCCCGCCTTCGATAAACCGCCAAAGTGAGGTGCGTAAGGTGGTGAAAAACGAAATTCAATGCCCTTTTCAGATGCAAAATGGGATAGCGAATCTTTATGCAATTTATAAAAAATACTTATTTCCTTAGAAGCGGCGGTAAAATTTCTACGATTGTCACAAAATATTTGATTAGGTATACCACGACGGGAAATAAACCTTTTTAGCGCTAGTATGAAACCATCCTTGGACAGCTCACTCACAGCCTCTAGGTGTATGAATTTGAATCTAAAACAGATAAAAATATACATATAACATTTTTTTATTTTAGCTCCGCGTCCCCTTCGATCAGCTATCATAAATGGGCCCGCGAAGTCTATACCGACTGCACGAAAAAGAAAATCAGACATTAAGCGTTCTGCTGACAGTTTACTCATGATATTTTACATTGCTTGTCCCTTATAGCGGCGACAAACAGCGCAATTACGAACCGTTCTTCTAGCTAGTGCCCTACCACATATAGGCCATATGCGCTCCCTAACAGAGGCTAACGGCTGTTGTGGACCCGCGTGTAACAGACGTTTGTGCTTATCACACCATCAGCGTCTAAAAATGGAGCAAGAGAAGACAGTACAGATTTAACGTTAATACATCTGTTATTGTTTAAAAGTGATAGCTCCCTTTCAAATGAATTTTGTTGCGAGATCTTAATCAAAATAGTGAATGAGCGTTTTAGCTCCTTTGCTTGTAATGGACCTGAATATTTATTTTTAGGAAATTTGCAGTAATTTGAAAATCTAAAGATGTAAGCAACTACTCTTTCTAACGTTCTTAACTTAGAGTAATTCTCAATCAATAATGGTGTTTCGGATAAAGAAGTTAAAACCTTAACCTCCGGTAGTTCAGAATCGCTCATTGTGGATTTAGGATTGTATGGCCAAAAGTGTTCCGATTGCAGGAGAAAGGATGGTCCATCCCACCATAACTTAGCCTGCATTACTTTGTCCGGGTCTACTCCACGCGAAGCTAGATCGGCAGGATTTTCACTTGTCGGAAGGTGGCGCCAAGACGAAGAATTGGTTAGCTCATTTATAGCAGCTACCCTGTTGGCAACAAATAGTTTTAATTTATTGCAACCAGCTCGAAGCCAAGCTAATACGACCATGGAGTCGGTCCAATAAACAACTTGATCAATTTCAATTCTGAGAGCTTGAATTACATTGGAGCTGAGCTGCGCAGATAATAAAGCTCCACAAAGTTCGAGGCGAGGGATAGTTATTGATTTGATAGGAGCTACCTTGGCCTTAGCACAGAGCAATGATACCCTTACATTACCATTGGCATATACTGACTTCAAATAGACGCAAGCACCATAGGCGCTCTGTGATGCATCGCTAAAACAATGCATTTCTATTGAGATGGGGTCAGAAATCAGAACCGTTCTAGGAATACGAATAGCTGAAATAGAATCAATATTTTTAATAAATCTTTGCCACGCCTTACGTATATCATTAGGAACGGGTTCATCCCATTCAGTTTTTTGAATCCATAGCTTTTGAATAATAATTTTAGGCTTTATAGTACATAATGACAGTAGACCAAGCGGATCAAATATTTTAAAAGTGGACGATAGAATATTACGTTTAGTAATAATACAAGATGAATGATGATGAAAGATGATGATTTAGAAATACTGCAAGATGGATCTAACCGAGGCTGAATCATCTCAAATTGTGACTTTGCTTGAAACTGGACAAAGTCAACGTGAAGTGGCTCAAGCTTTTTCTGTGAGCCGTTCTACGGTCCAGAGAGTGTACAAACGTTACATAGAGACTGGTGTCTTTGTACGACGACATGGTTCCAGCCGACGAAGAGCCACATCAGAGCGTGATGATCGATTTATTGTGTCATCAGCTCTAAGAAATCGTCATCGCACAGGGGTTGACGTTCGAAATCTCCTAAGAGAAGTGAGAGGTGCTAATGTTAGCGAGTGGACAGTAAGGCGCCGACTTAGACCGCTTCCCTGACGCCACGCAAGTCCGCAACTGGCCCCAAACTCACCCCTGCACATCGAATTACAAGATTACTTTTTGCCGGAGATCACGTGAATTGGAATTTGAAGCAGTGGAAGAAGGTTCTTTTTATTACTGACGAAAGCAGAATGTGTTTTTGAATTTAGTTATACGACCTTTAATCGCGCTACGCTTAATAAACAATTCTTTAAGATCCGACATTATTAACTTAACAAACAAGCGATAAAAGTTAAAAGAAAAAAAACTTATTTAATTTATTAAGTTAAAAAATAATAATATAAAATATCACGTTCCTCACTATTACGGTTCGGCGACGAACGCAGTTAGCTGTAGCTAAACGGGTCTCTTATCAGTTGCGATCTATGTATGATGTATGAGTGCGACAAGGAAGCAACGTGCATTTGTCATTCGCAAGCGATAGGTACGTTCGATGATGCTTCGTACGCACTCGTAGGATGCTCGGAACTGGAATGTTACAAATTATAATGCGTAAGCGCAGAATTGTATGCAAAAAATAATTGAAAATATAGGCGTGAAAAGCAGAACTTGTGCCAGATTGTAATTAGAAATACACAATATAGAAATGAAATTAAAGAAAATATAGTTGATTATTTTATATGAGACATACGATACATAGGTTGATAGGTATATCTTTGCTTAGAATTATTATGCAGTTACGAGTTTAGATACGTTGAAAATAATAGAATCGACACATAGGCAATTAATCTGTTTGTAAAATTAAATAAATGTTTCGTAATAAGTAAGAATGGATAAATATTTCTTATTGATTTTAAGTTTGTATATAATTTACAATTTGAAAAATGAGACATTTAAAAGTATGTGGAAAATAAGACAATAACATAATAAAGCAGGTCGAGGAAGGAGAAATCAAAGCTAGGAAAAGGAATAAATATATAAGAACGAGCTCACTCTTTTTGTAAATGCTGGGCCAATGCTGCTTAATATCTTCGTAAGTTATGGTCCGATTTAGATAATTCAAAAAGATATATCATTCTTATGTCTTATAAAATAACGTGGATACTAGTTCTATGGAATTTGCTATAACTGTACTAATCCTCATTGATCACCAAGCTCAGAAAACGGGGTATTTAGTCTAATTTTTTTAAACATAATAATATGTGTTCTTTAGGAAGCTCTGTATGCTTTTGTATGATGTCAATTAAAAAATAACAATCCTTTGAAGTACCTATATAATATCTTGGATTATTCTTAATAATTAATCTTACAGTATTTTCAATTGAAATTTTGCATAGATTTTCTGCTTCAATTTTCATGTTTATTTGGGCCAATTCAGACTTGAGTCTCTTGGTCACTGCTAGTGGATGTCATCATAACCAAGGACTGAACAGACGGTGAAGTCTCAGTTTTTAAATGTTTAACGGGTGTTGAACTATTTGAAGATGCCACTTCTAGCTTCTCACTAACGAATAATATTTTCCTCTTAATTTTAGTATTCATAAATCTTGCTGATTGAACTCCAAACATTGTAACTTTGAAAGGTGATGTTGCGAATTGCGATAGATGTGGTATTGGTCTTTAAAGGAGAAGTATTTTTATCCTTAACTTGACTAGTGGTTTGTATAGCTTTGCTCCTAATTGTTGCTTATAAACATACTTGAACTAATTTATTAGTTGCTTCAGGGCATAATTGTGTTGCCTTATCGTGAAAATTAGTAAAGCATTTATCCTTCACAGTAGCAGACTGAAAATCTGAAACAATCAGAATATATTATTAATGACATATTAATTACTCCAGTATATGCAAAAGGCACTGCATAGATAAACACTAAAATAGGTTAGTCTTCATCTATAGTTAAACCATTTAAACTAAAATGTAATTTTTTTACGACTTCACTCGCTTGTCGTGCCTGATGTTGCTGACATTTGAGTTTCCTTGGAAATTACATCCAGTATTATGTCCATACGTCGCCTTTTGCTTATGGCTGATCGAGGCTGCGGAGGCGCAGTACGTTTCATTCTGTCTGGTTGACACTCAAACTTTGATGGCAAGCAGCCCGGCTTCATTCTTATTTTACCAACAGAATCCATTATACTGTACTGAATGTAATTTTCCATATCATTAGGTAGCTGTAAAGTGACACAATATGTTAATGACTTTTATTTATTTCAATGATTTATATGTAAAGCATGAGGTCAGGTTTAGTTTTTTCTGGGAAGCCAAAGGCTATGTTCCCTATTGAAAAACTACAATAGAATCTCATCAATAGCGACGAAAGCCACATAGAAACCAATAAATATTTATTGGTTTTGATTTGGTTGATGGTCAATTTTTATATACTTACATCAAAGTGGTCTTCACAAAAGAAAATTGTAGATTTATCAGATGTAAACTTCGAGTCTCGGCGTGCTAACTGTAACCACTGCTTTCGACGTTTTGGACTCTTAGGAACGTGTATAAACAATTTCTCAGGATTTTTAATGGTCGTACTTATACACATTGGCACGGCACACATCTTATAGGATGTCATTTTTACAATTATTCTACTAAAAAAGCTTAAACTTTCCTCTTGAGAATATGCTTAGAAGTTAGAGCGGCGTATTTATTTAATCTAATATATTTAAACGAGCAATTCTTGTACATATATATATCATTGGCGTAGGTGAAAACTACATAACTCAAATTTTCTAGTTTGGAGAAAATCGCGATTTACTGATTTTTTTCCAATTTTTTGGCATAATAAAAAAATTTGAGAAAATTTTACTGTCGGTAATTTTATATACTTTAGGTATCTTTGCCTTTTATTTTATACTTAAACAAACTAAACTCTATCTTAAAGTGTTAAAAAATAAAAAACCAAGTTGTCTAATTCTGCCACAACATATTATTACAAGTATGCTGCAATTAGCTATTTATTTAGGCTAGTTGCTTAGTTTTCCTACGTGTTAGACACATACAGTAAAACAAATTAAGGTGAAATAAGTGCAGTTATTGAATTTGTCAACTACTAGTTATCATTAAATATGAAAATTAACTTCTTTGAACATAAATTACTTTAAATAATTTATCAACAATTATTTATGTCACACAAAATAAAAAGCTGTGTTTGAAATATTAACAATGTTTTATTTTAAGAAAATATATACTCAAGGGAAAAAAGTTCGCAACATGTATAATTATGAGTATTATTCGTCATTATCTCATAGCAACAAGTAACAACAAATTAAGAGGCATAAACTACTCAAATACAACAATCATAGATACTTTTTAAAACCTATTAGAAATAAGAAACAGTCCTTCGTATTAAAACAAACCAGAACATAATTTAAAACACAAAACAACGAAAATTAACATCACAATATTATAATTACAAATGACAACAAACATTATTTTATAATCATTTAATACCATGTTATCTAAGTATTTAAATAGTTTACGGTAAGTAAGACTAGGTAAAAAATGACTTATTCATCTACTCCAGATGAATCAGTGGAGGGTAGTCTACCCTGGCCGTCGATGTCAGATGGTAAACTTTCGTACCAGCCATGGAGCTCTTTAGGAATAATGTTTTTTTTACAAAGCTGTAAAAGGTCTTTTTTTTTGTTTTGTTATAGGGAGACACTGCTTGTATGCCCTGGGAATATCTGCGGTATTTATTATAGGCATTTCAGAATTCGGCGTTCTTCTAGTCGGTCTTGATGGATCGGTACAATAGTATATATAAGAATAGTAAAGAGGAAGGGTTGTCACGGTTGACGTTCAATATTCAAAATATATATTTTTCTATTCATTTATATCATGTGCCAACACTACCCCTTAAACGAATATAAAAATATCATATTCGCAACTTACACCTACCACTTATATCTTTAAGTTTTAAATAATTTAGATATAAGTTTCTTATGCTTCACAATACATAAGGGCTTTGTAAAAACATCAGCTAACATATCTTCAGTACATAGATAATCTAACTTAACTATCTTCTTATCAACCAATTCTCTAATAAAATGGTATCTGATATCGATATGCTTTGTTCTAGAATGTGATATAACATTAGAACATCATTTCTGAGCAGACTGGTTGTCATTATATAAAGTTATTTTACAGAGCTTACCAGTACACTCATTATTAAACGCTCATAAAAACAAAGCTTCTTTACAAGAATCAGAAACCGCCATGTACTCAGCCTCAGTGCTCGAAAGCGCGACAGTGCGCTGCTTACGGCTTTCCCAGGATACTATTGATTTACCAATACAGAATACATACCCTGTGTAGGATCTCCGATCCAATTGGTCTCCGCCCCAATCAGCATCGGCAAAACCTAAAATTTCAAGATTATGTTTTTCAAAGATTAGCGAGTATTCTGAGGTGCCTTTCAAATACCTTAAAACCCTTTTCGCAGCTTTGACATGACTCTCACCATGGCAATCATTGAATTGGCTCAGGTAGCTGACACTGTGAGCGATATCGGGTCTGGTACATACCGCTAAATACATTAAGCAACCAATTAAACTCCTATAATCAAAGTTGCAATTACTAACATTTCCCTCTCTTTGCAACTTTAATCCTACTTCCATAGGAGTTTTTACTTCCTTACAATCCGCCATTTTAAACTTTGTCAATATCTTCTTTATATAGCTGGATTGATTGAGAGTATAGCTACCGTTAGGTAATGTAGTAATTTTCATACCTAAGAATTGATATGCCAGTCCTAAGTCCTTCATCTCAAATTGTTTCATCAACTTTTCTTTAATGAGCTTTCCTTTCTGAGATGTCTTAGATGAAAATAACAATATATCATCAACATAAATAGCTATATACAAAATTTCTTTACTATCGTTATATATATACACGCATGGTTCTGAAGAAAACCTCTTAAAGTGTAATTTCTTAATTAAAACATCATTAATTCTCTCATACCAAGCCTTAGCTGATTGTTTTAATCCATATATTGCCTTGTTAAGCTTATAAACCTTATTCTTATTATTATCAACAACAAAACCTTCCGGTTGTTCCATGTACACATTTTCCTTTAAAATCCCATTTAAAAATGCTGTTTTAACGTCCAAGTGCTCAATTAACATATCGTACTGAGCAGCTAGTGCTAGCAAAATTCTGATAGTTGAGTATCGGACGACAGGAGAAAATGTTTCGTGATAATCTATCCCATATTTTTGAGTAAAGCCTTTTGCCACCAAGCGAGCTTTGTACTTTAAGATCTCTCCATCAAGCCCTCTCTTCTTGCAAAAAATCCATTTGCATTTTACAGGCTTATGGCCTGGAGGTAGATCTACTAAAGTCCAACATTTGTTTGTGATGAAACAATCATACTCATCTTTTATCGCTTGTTTCCAATGCTGTGAATCACTGCATCTCAGTGCTTCCTCCGCGTTAACAGGTAAGTCCTCCTCATGCATCTCTGTTAATCCAGCGAACTCATATGATTGAGCTTCTTCAAATGACAGCTCCCTAGAGTCCTCAGAGTCAATGCTTGATAAACCTGGAACATAAGTGGGGTCGGCCGAATCATCTGAGGCAACTAAATCTTCTGTTTCATCTAGATCAAACATAGTTTGCCTGCGAGGATTTATTTGGCCAACATTATGACATATAGACTCATCATTTACTGATGCATTTGACTGTGGAGATAACTGAATAGTTTTTGTAGGTAATTGTACTGAATTCGGACTTAGAGTACTATCTACAAAAATCTGTGAACTAGTTGAGTCTAAACCTAATGAAGTATCTTTATTTTTATTAACTTTACAACTATCACTATAAGTTACATTTTTATTTACAAATTGGTTCTCCATGAACGTCACATGCCTCGCTTTAATGCACTTCTTTGGACAAAAAGGATCTATGAGCCTATAGCCTTTGCTATCATCACAATATCCTACAAAAATATATCTATTGCTTCTAGGGTCCAATTTTCTAGCATTCTCAACGATGGCATATGCTACACAACCAAAAACTCGTAAATGTTCAATGTTCACCTTTTTATTCGTCCATTTTTCTTCCGGTGTTACTCCCTTTATTGCCTTAGTAGGGGAACGGTTCTTCAAGTATACAGCCGTGTTAGCAGCTTCAGCCCAGTACCGTTTCTCTAAACCAGCGTCCTGGAGCATGCAGCGGGTCTTATCCATTATCGTCCTATTTGCCCTCTCTGCAACACCATTTTGTTGACTACAGTTTGGAATTGTAGTTTGATGCTTAATTCCATTTTCTTTTAAATAGGCCTGAAAATTTACAGAATTAAATTCTCCGCCATTGTCACTTCTAAAAACCTTTATTTTCCTACTTACTTCATTCTCTACCATAGTTTTAAATAATTTAAATTTTTCAAATACTTGACTTTTTCTTTGAAGAAAGTAAATAAATGTTTTTCTTGTGAAGTCATCGATAAATGTTACAAAGTAACGTGCTCCACTCCAAGAAGGTGACTGCATAGGACCACACACATCTGCGTGTACCAGTCCTAGAATTTCGGAAGCCCTACTTTTACTTTTCTTTGGAAAAGGTAGCCTTGTCTGTTTACCTTCGAGACAAGCAGTACAAGGAATGAAAGTAGTATTTTTATAATTCATACCTGATACAATACCATTTTTCATTAAATTCATGCTCCGTGCATTCAGATGACCGAGCCGCTTATGCCACAGTTCCTGTGATGCTGAATTCTGCACAATCGCCAGTGTAGAATCCTTGCTCTCATCTGAAAACACCGTACGCTCGCTCCCCTCACGGACTGAGTTCATAGCAATCCCTGATTCTTGTTTTCTACTGTATTTCCTATTATACATATTTACAGTTTTAATAATGTCGAGTTCATAGACACCATTTCTACAAGTACCAGTAGCTATAACCTCCTTATCGTGCATAATTTTACAACCTAAATGACTAAAAATAACATAATAACCTTTCCTACCTAACTCACTTACTGATAATAAATTTACACTAAGTTCAGGTATAAAATATACATTATTTATAGTTTTAGTACCATTTACTAATTGTACCTTTACTCTACCCCGACCTTCTGTTGTTAATTTGTCCCCATTAGCTACATTTACCTCAAGTGACTTTACATCCTGATAATCATACATTAGATCTTTATTATTACACATATGATGAGTAGCCCCAGAGTCGATACACCACATATCACTGTGAAGATTCACACGTAATGCAGACAGTAACGACGCCTCAGGATTCTGCTTCCCAGTAGATTCTTGTACAGAATTATTTTTGTACACTTTCCTTTTACTGGTACAGTCCTTCTTCATATGTCCAGGTTTTTTACACTTGAAGCACACGACCTTTGAGCTCTTTTCTTTTCTAGTAGCTAATGCGTTGACCCCATCTTGACTCTTGTCATCTCGCCTCTGTTGCTCCTGCAGTAACTTTGACTTGACCACCTCACTTGTGAGTTTCATATTAGAATTTTCTAAAGCCATTATCATGGGATCAAAGTCCTCCGTCAAACCACTGAGCATAATTACAGCTAGAAATTCATCGTCAAGTGCGGATCCAATATCTGATAGTTGTTGCCCAAGCTCCGTAATTTTTAATAAGTAGCTTTGCATACCTTCCGTCTCGCACAGTTTCGTACCAAATAGCGACCTCAGTAATCCCAGTCGTCTGCATAGTCCCTTATCCTCGTAAGCACGCTCGAGATTATGCCAGGCTTCATAAGGACTCTTCGCATTGCGTACATGACCCAACGCTGATGGACCGACGGACAAACAAATTTTTGCTAACGCCTTTTGTTTTTTCTTCTCGTCTTTTTCATCTTCGTTTATTACGCAATCGAAAAGATCTTCATGCATTAAAATCATTTTTAGCGTAAACTTCCAATGATTATAATCTTCTAAGCCCTTTAGTTTTTCGACGGGAATATTATATGACAATGCCGACGCCATGTTTTATATTTTTGCAGATACTTTATTATATATTAATTATTTTATATATAAAATTTAAATGCAAATACTATAAATATACTGAAAATATGCGAATATACGAAATTATTTTAACTTTAATCAACGGTCTGGGCCCATAACCTGATGGATCGGTACAATAGTATATATAAGAATAGTAAAGAGGAAGGGTTGTCACGGTTGACGTTCAATATTCAAAATATATATTTTTCTATTCATTTATATCATGTGCCAACAGGTCTCCCTGGTTTACAAAGTGTATTTAGTAAATGATATGGTCCATCATAATCGTATCGGTATTTAATGAAACCAGGTAAAGCCTTTTCAAATCATAGACATTTTATTTTCGAACCAGTGCACTGTCTCCCCATCCTCCGCTATAGTTTTATTTTTTATTATCATCAAAGCAAGTGCTTTTACATCAATCATGTCTTGGTACAAGAATTCAGTTACGTTATACGGAGTAACATTTTTATTATGTCTGTTAGACCGCGCCCGTTGCATAATTCTCTTCCAGTCTATTATAGAATATGCTTCTGTGAACCTTTTTTCTTTTTCAATAGCACTATGCATTGAATCTACCTCCATAAAGCTATTACCACTTTCTAGATACTTTTGCTCTATTACTTTGATCGTTTTGTGCGTGTGGACCAAGTGAAGTAAAAATGCTGCTATGTATTGGTTGCGGTTTTGCCCTGAACATGTGTCGGAGTATATAGTTACATGTGTTATAGCCTCGGGAAGTTTCATAATCCATATGTAAATAGCAGAAACTATTTCGATACTGCCTCTTTTGCCGTTTATTTCCGTCCATATCATACAGTGAGCGTTATTCTGCGGGGGTTTAAACTCATAAGCAGACAAATTATATAAATTTAATTTTCTGGAATAGTACATTAAACTATCTGCAGTCGATGGAATTTGCAAAAGACTTTGCAAGTCCATAGTAACACATAAAAATGACTCATCCTCTTCTGACTTTTTTTATCTAACTCTTTAGATCTGTATGATGCCTCTTTTCGTTCTATATGTTGACTATACTCATTCTGGACAGAGGTATTAGATTTATCTTTTTGATATTTATTACACATGATACACTGATCCTTTTTTGGGTGAAAAAATGATAAATTGTATTGTGTGCCAAACACTTTCTTGTAAACATTTAATTTTACAGGTATTTTGTTGCTGCACTTCATTTTCTCTACATACAAATCATACATTTTTAATATTGATAATTTGGGATCTAAATATTTCCTATCCGATTGTTTTCTGCAGTAATGGGAATCAAGCACAGGAAAACTTTCAATGTGATTTTTTACATCTTGTAACTGATCGTCTGGAGTTTTGTTAGCAGGAGCTCGTCTGCCACGACGATCGGCTTGTGAAAAAGAACCATTTTCAACTATATGTTTCACTGCTGTCTCTATCGGACCAGATGAAATGCAAAGTGTGGACATGAAAAAGTTTTTGCAGACCCGCTCAAAAGAAGTTTGACCCTTTTTTTTTAATCTTTTTTTTTATACATGGGAGCAGTGTTGCCAACACGGTGTCAGGTTTTGGGGCTAAATGGAGTTCTAAAAAGGGCTAGATGGGGGCTAGATTTGGCCACGGAGGTTCTCCTTCTATCTAAGCTCCGTGACTTGGCCAAAAAAATTCAAATAGGAAAAGTTCGTTTTTTTATTGAAATCAAATAAAATAAGTAATTTTTTAATAATCGTTTACTTAATATTAACCAAAAAATAAAAAAAATCAACTTTTTTAATTAAAAATACACCTTAAAACTCAATCTCCTCATCGGAGGAGGATTCTTCGCCGTAAAACTCACTTGTACTTTGCGAAGTTGATGGTTGAAGAGATTGATTATTAGTTCCAGCAGGGGCCTTGTTCAGAATAAATTTATATCTTTCTTTAGATCCAATCTTTTTTAAGACATCTATTGGGTTATCATATGTGTGATGGGAGTTTGAGTCATGGCATTGACTATGTCACCCCCGTACAACATCTAACTTAATAAAAATCTAAACTTAATAAAAATTAGTTCCAATTATATTAATGGAGTAACTTAGCTAATATAATCGCATTGCTTGACAGTGGTGTAGCCAGTATGCTGTTACATATACCCACATTATACGATTTTAACACAAGTGGCCTTAATTCTTCGTTTCGCACACATTCCATTAGTAGATGATATATATCATCGATACAGTTACATTGTGAGCATTTTTCTGTATTAGATATACCCATCAAAAACTTAAACTTATTTGAAAGAATGTGCTCGGAACGCAGTCTCAACAACGATACTATCTGTTTTCTTTTTATTTTAGATCTGTCAAACCAAGGGTAATGAGGAAGCTTATTTACAATTGTTTTATACCATATACCTTCATACCGTGATCGCTCGTCAAAATATTCTTGCCAATTACGTTTGCACATTTCTTTTAATTTAATTAAAATATCATTATATAGAGGAGCACAATCGTAAGGAATCCCTTCGCTAATAGCCTGTTTGGCGGCCCTGTCTGCTTCCTCGTTACCCTCAAGTCCAATATGGGACGGTACCCATTGAATAAATACAGTCTTACTTTGAGATTCGATTTCATAAATACATTGTAAAATATTATAGGCTATCGGATATCCTGGAACAGTCGAGGTTAGCCGAGCCAAATGTAAAAGGGCGCTTTTTGAATCAGACAGTATAACGAACTTTCTTTCTGAACATGACAAAATAAACGATAGTGATTCAAGTATGGCAATTAACTCAATGTGCATGATCGAAATATTTACATTTATTTTAAATTTCATAGTACCTTTGGTTTGAGGATCAAAAAACGCGGCACCTGCTCCATATTCATTTTTAGAGCCATCAGTATATAATTTATAGCAGGAGTTATAAAAGTTTGACCCTTATAAAACCCGTATTCCCTACTAGAGCTTCTTTGTTTTTCTAACGGTACAGATTTTTTTGTGGTTTGTACTGGTTTAATAATTATACGCTGAAGTAAAAACTCTTTTTGTAACTTAAAATCTTGAATAGACCAATAAGACTTGCAGATTTCTGCACGCCAAAATTGTCAGCGTATTTATGGCGGCAGTTTTTACTGCATTTTGGACTTTTAGGTACTTTAGGTGCACGAAGCTTTCCATATTTACTTGAATATGGCAAACACTTTCTTTTTTTTTGCAGTTCTATGTTTCTTTTCCATTTCGTAGGGTCAGCATTCTTCCATCTGTACTTTACTTTTTCCTTCATTACTGTTGTGGTTTCTGTTTCAGAGTCAGTAGTTTCAGTTATTATAATATTAGGCCTTACTTCTGTATAAGGGTTAAGAGGTGTCATTAGGTTTTGTTTCAAAGATGTTTCAATAATAGCACGAGTGTTTATAATGTTACCTGTGTCTTTTTCAGATTTACTAGACAAGTTAGGTTTTTTGGGTTCAAATCTCTTCACTCTTTTTTTATTTTTTGGGGTTTTCTCACGTTTAATTTCGGTTTTTGAAGATGTCGAATAAAATATATCCGTTAAAGAGTTACGTTTCTTTTTTGCTTTATTTTCTTCGTCTGTGTCTGGAATCCACGAGGATCAAGAATCAGAAAAAGGTTCTTCATCTGTGTGAGACAGCAGTAATCCAATACCAGAAATTAGACTAGACTCTCTGATTGGCGAACTAACATCTATATTATCACTATCTAATATATTATTTTCTTCATTTATATTAAATTTCTGCTACATAAAGATATGGGACTAACATTCATGAAATTGAGGGTACAGGAGGTTTCGGGGGCGATAAATCGATCTAGATTAGTCTTATGTCTGGGAAAACGCGTGTTTTAGAATTTTCATGTGGTTTTCTTTCGCATTATTCCACGCAAAATATGGTCGATAATTGCACATGTTCGGGCAAAAGCATCATGGTCAAGCGGCCAAGGCGCAAGATTGACAATCATAGGTGTCCGGGTTCGAGTCCCGGTCGGATACAAAGGTGTATAATTTATTTTAGTTTTTTTTATTCAAGTTTTTAGTTTTTTTTAATAGAAAATTGTACCTTTAACCAAAAACTCCGAGTGAAGCTCGGTGGCCCAGGTATATTTATTGAAATGTGACGTCATCAGCTCAAAATGTCACGTGACCGACTGTTTTAGGACGACATGTCAGATCAAAAGAAATGTTTTTATGTATTTTTAAACAATTTTTCGACTAATAGATTATTGAGAAGTATAAAATTAAAATTTGCACATTTTAAAACACTTCCGAATACTGTCAAGTAGCCAATTGTTTGTATTATAGTTTACCTATTTGTGAATAACTTTCTTTTCTCGCTTGTAAATTTGTACCATCGGCAACAATAATCCCTCAACGACCGCGGACACACCGGCGATACAGTTAACACTAGATGTGTTAAGAGACAATTCCACCAAACGACGACCTCTATAATTATTTGCCATAATGAGTTTTGGGCAGACATGATTTAAAACTTTCCATCGACACGAAAAGAAGAAGAAGAAGTGAACTATCTCAAGTAATAAATTTGTAATACAAACTAGTAGTAAGTAATATTGAGCGACCGATTATTATTGTCGATATAACACCATTTACAAACGAAGTCATTCATGAATGCCATTGAACACACCATTGGCGTTGGTATGTTTTAAAACTATAAAATTATCCAAAATAGACATAAAATTACTTTATTGTTATAATCATATGATTAAATTTGATAAAATAATCGATTACTTATTAACACATAAATTACCTACTGTAAAAAATACTATTTTATATAATTACTGTAAAAAATCAAATTCCCAGCAAAAATAACTAGCACAAAAACCGACTTCGAAAATATCTGATTAGGTCTATTCTAAATAAAAGCCGCCGTTTAGTTATTTTTTTACATTTTAGTGCTTGGAAGTCGTTCTTTTTTTTAGTTTTCAAGCACTATCTTGTGCTAATGACTTTCTTTTTATCCTATAAGAATAAGGACAAAGGCATGCTTATTGGTACAATGAACATTATTCAATAGACCGTTTCTTGGTAAAGAAGCCAAAACATTATACCTGCTTATTTACCTGATAAACATTATAAAAGTATTTTAGTTTATATTATAAATAAATACCAAAATTTAATTCCTTTCATTTTCAGCCTTTTGTTCTAGCAAGGATGAAAATATAACGCTACATTGTAAAATTGTTAACTTTCAGTTTTAGTACATGGTTTGAAATATGGTGTGGAAATATAGATCGTAATGTTCCAAGTGTCTCTATGGAAACATTTAAGTAAGGGGCCGTTCAAATATTACGTAAGCAGATTTATTACAATCATTTACCCCACCCATCCCCCTTGTCAGCAAAAGTAAATAAAGCTCTTACCCCCTCGTCCCATGCTTACGTAAACATTTTTCAATTATAAATGTATTTTTTTATATTGTAATTATAATGTTATAATAATAATTTAAAAAATAAGAAAATAGATTTAGGATAAAGATTAGATTTTACTGATACAGTATTCAACATAGAGTAAGGGACAAAAATATTATAATCTTACGAACATAACAAACTTATTTTAAATTTTTGGTACACATATTAAATTCAAATTAACAGTCTTCAGTCCATGAAACCCGAATCCATGATTCTAAGTTTTCGATGACATTGGATTGCTGCTTAGTGTTGTGAGTCTGCTCACTTTCATCCGATTTTGGTATGTCTACGTCGTTCTCATCGAGCCATTCAACATCATGGTGCTCTAAATTTTGAATAATGCACATCAGTTCATTAGCACGACGAGCAGTGACTCTGGCAGGTCTAACTTTCCTATCAGTGTGCGTGTTTACTTTTTTATGGATCTCCTCGATGTGACGATTTAGTGACTTGACGGAAGCATGATAAAGACCACAAGTTTTGCATGTTCGACTTGATAGCCTTAATTTTACCGTCGGACAAAAATAATCGTAGGGCATTTGCAGGAAATCTTTGAGTGAAGCACTTAAGCGTAGAGCTAAATTGACTGGAAGATCAATAAATTGCCCTCCTTCATCTGAAACCAAGTCATCAACTGTTTGTTTTACTTTTAAAGGTGGTGGAAGAAATCTGTTGTCTAGTAATCTGAATAGGCCACTTCTTGGACGACAGCATTCTGTATTTCTGCATTTTACAATTTGAAGCAAGTATTGGCTTTCGCGAACATGTTCTGAATATCATTTAATGTCTGGAAAATCAGGAACATCTTGTTCACCAGCCCCAACATATTTTGCAGTAATATTATAGCCATCAATTTCCATTGAACTCCATACTTCAGCTAATGTATTTCCTGCAAATTCGAAATTAGATCTTTCTAAATGTTCATCAATTATAACGCCACGTTCATCCAAATGAAACCCGAAATGGTCATGAGGCAATATTAAACCAGCCAGTTCCCGACTAAGAGGAGCCATTCTGCGCTCTACTCTGTTATACGCACTTCTTCCAGGAGCATTGGTAGCTAAAAACAATGCATCGAGATCATGTCGCTTAAAGTGTTGTATAGCAAACCCTATGACTTTTTGATAACGCGGATTTTCATCTGGCCCTCCATCAACCGTCATGATTACTTTTTTTCTATTTCTTTCTTTGTTCTGTGTTTGATTTGTTCTATTTCTCTCTTTACGGTATGTAAGAAGAGAACTGACTCGTTTTTTAGCAATTTTTTCTACCATCTATGTACAGACAGACATTGGACCTCTACAGTTTTATTATTCATATATGTACCTATATTCAGATAGAATAAATAACATATAATAAAACAGAAATATATCATAATGAAAATAGTTAAAGCGAGTGTATCTTAGGTGATAGACATATACTATGTAGAACTTTTCTATAGACCTTTTTTATACTTAGAATTTTCTTGTACAATGTTTTGATCTATCTCTTAAGGTTGAGCCAACGTTAGCCATATAAATTTCTAAGGACAATTCGACAGAACCAGTTATTTTCCCGTGGGAATGAATAATTTGCCTGTCGTAAAAAGTATTCTAAATGTTGATCCGAGCACTAAGTTTTATCACTATTATAGGTATTTTTTTTTTGTGATTTATTATCTGCAATCAGTTTAACTATAAGCAGATTGTGTGAGGGTACTTGTCTGTCGAGTGTGCTCTCCACTGAGAACATCTACTCATTTATTGCCAATGGACTCAGTCATCACTGATTATATCCTTCCTTTTGAGCCATTTGTTATAGCCTCGACGTGTAAGTTGTGAAGCTAGAGGATTGGGGTGATTTTGCAGTCGTTGTTGATAGGTTTGCGAAGTGTTTTTGATTTCGTCTTTCACAGTAGACATGTTGAGGTGATCGTGGATTTCATTGTTGGTCACAAACCATGGCGAGTTGCCAATAGTGCGGAGGATCATATTCTGCATTCTTTGCAGGATGGTTATATTCGAGTTACTGGCACTGCCCCATAGCTGTATGCCATAAATCCAAATAGGCTTCAATACTGTCTTGTAGATAAGCAATTTGTTATCTACAGAGAGTTTGCTGTTGCCGAGTGAAGCAAGTTCAAATCCCGGGTCTACCATCTCTGATATTGGCCAGCGTGGTGGACTATGGCCTGATCCACCTCGTACTGAAGGGAGGCCCGTGCGTGTGTTAAAAAGGGCTGAATACAACATATATACATACATACATACATATATACATACATACATACAAAAGGTATCCTAAATGTTGACTCGAGTAATAAGTTATCACTTCACAAAATTTCGTTGAAATTGGTACATTACTTTTCGCGTGAAACGCGCACACAAAAACAGACATACAGGCAAACATGTCTATGTTGTGTACATAATACGTTACAAATAAACAAAAACATCTATCCCACGGGAAAAGTACGTTTTTCCGGGATAAAAAGTTACCTATTTGTTATTCTGATGTATGAACTATATTAATGATTTAGATTAATTAATGTCATGAACTATATTATTGTAAAGTTTCATCAAAATCCAATCAGTGGTTTTTGTGTACTAAGCTGTATAAGTTACTATAGTTTTTTGACTCTCCCACGGAAACTCTTTAATTTTCCGGGATGAAAAGTAGCTGATTTGTTTTTGTTATGTATGAACTATATTATTGTAAAGTTTCATTAAAATCCAATCAGTAGTTTTCGTGTACTAAGATGTATAAGTTGTTATAGTTTTTTAACTATCCCACGGGAACCCTTTAATTTTCCAGGATGAAAAGTATCTAAGATGTTGCCCGGGGATATAAGTTACCACTATGCAAAATTTCATTTAAATAGGTTCAATAGATCCGGAGATTAGCCCGTACAAAGAGAAAAACAGATAAACAGCTCGCTCAGGTTCGTCCATACATACGAATATGTTGTATTATCTCTTTAACCATTTGTCCAAATTATATGCAGTAAAAGGGAAAAGTCTTTTATTTTAAGCATTTTAGACGATAAATTTACTTATTTTGATAAGAATTCATAATTGTTGATAATATGACCAATAAACATGACCTACCGATTTAAATGATTTTTTTAATATAATAAACTACTTTTCTGTGACTTAAATATAAAAGTTAGACATATGCTGTCGCTGACTTTTTGTAGACATTATTAAGCTCTACAACTTTTCTCTAGAACATAATCATATATCTCTCATCGTTAAGGCAGCGTTCGTAAGAAACGTTTTCGTTCGACCGTTTTTTCTCCGACTTACTTTTCATTTTTCGGGTTAATATGACACTCAGAAAGAACGTGGCTTTCTATTGGTAAAAGAATTTTGAAAATCGGTTCAGTAGATCCAGAGATTACCCCCTACAACGTCACAAACTCACAAGATCACACATTTTTACCTCTTTATAATATTAGTATAGACAATGTAAAGAGAAACTATTTGGCGATTTCTAATATTTCTAGTACTTATAGGTACCTAAAATGATTTCGTAACTCACCTTGGAAAAAAAGTGTAGTAGATTGGATTTATTCTTAGTCGCCGCTTGCAATTCTTCTTCAATTCTCATAGATACAATAATATCTAGTTCCTTGTCGGACTTTGCTTGTAATTTATAATTTCACCACACTTCGTTAACTAACTTTTGTACATTTTGTACTTTCGTACTTGCATGAGATTTTTTAAAACTTTGAAACAATTTTTGGTATAACTTGGATTTGTCTATTTGAAACGACATCTTATTTAAACGTTAAACTTTGGCTAATGGAATCAACGGTAACACAAATGTTAACTTGCTTTGCTATGCTTACAATACGTCTACTCGCTATAGTATCCAAACAAAACAATACACTAACGGAGAAAATTTAGACAAGTGAATAGCGCGCGGTAATTCCCCTAATCGGTTCTAAAGCAAGTGCCTAAACGTATGCATTATTTGCGGGAATTTTTAAAAATGCGTTTCGTTTTCAAGCATAGACAATGTGAGGGTTGCCATTTGTGTAAAAAAGTAAATAACTACCGATGACGTAATCATCATCTAGACTCCCCTACCCCCCATGTCATCCAAAATAAGCAAAACAAAGATCCAAATCGGTTAATAAATGACGGAGTTCTGAGGTAACAAACATAAAAAAAACAGTCGAATTGAGAACCTCCTCCTTTTTGAAGTCGGTTGAAAATGGGTGCCATATCGTATTTTCGTTAAGTGAAAATATTAATTACGAAATATAACTAGGATTATTTTATTTTTAATTCATTTGTTTTTAACCGACTTCCAAAAAGGAGGACGTTCTCAATTCGTCGGAATCTTTTTTTTATGCATGTTCACCGATTACTCGAAGATGCCTGAACCAATTTGGATTTTTTTTTGTTTCAAAGGCTATACTTCCCAGGTGGTTCCATATATAAATTTTATCGAAATCGGTCAAGCGGTTTTTTTAATCAACAAATAAATTATTTTTTAAAATAAGTTGCTTAATCGAACATGTTATTAAAAAACTTTCTTCTAACAAATTACCTGTTTATTACGTCTACACTAAAAATAGACAAATAAAAACTTAAAAAAAAATTAAAACCGACTTCCAGGTACTAAAATGTAAAAAATAACAAAACGGGGGTTTTCAGTTAAAATAGATACCTAATCAGATATTTTCGAAGTCGATACATTTTTCAATGTTTGTATTAATATTTCGAATATGTCGTGAAAATTATACCGCGGATGGATATTGTTTGCCAAAGCTTTTGGACTAATGATGGTATAATAATATTTCGCCATATTCGGAATTGTACGGCAAGTAGTGCTTAAAGCTTATTGGATAATAAAAATTTTGTTATAATGAAATATTTTATTTTTGTCAGTCCTTTGTATTCTAATCTGTAGTAATACACGTGTAAAACAATAAAAGATAATAGAAAATGATTTGAATGAACAGACAAGTGCCGTTTGTTTACCTGGAGGCAATACAATGAGAGGATCAATTCTGCTTAGAAATCACCCCTCTACCAAGTCATCTTTCTTAAGCTTGTTGCAAATTTTAGTCAGTATACATCTAGTAATAGAAGAATTACTACAAGAATTAAAAAATTGTGAACTATTTCTTCCTTCGATAAAGCGGTAAGTAAAATTTAAATAAATCTCTTGACGCGCTCTATATTTTAGCAACTTTTTACATCTGGAATAAATGAGATGTTAATATTAAAGTCTGTTTGTCTATAAATGTCAAAATAACAGTGTTTTACTAAATGCATATGAAATTATATATGGTACTTATAAGGACAAACACATTTTTTTTTAATTTTTGTCTATCTGTCTGTTTGTTCCGGATAATCTCTGAAACGGTTGTATTTATTTTGACGGGCCTTTCACTGGCAGATAGCTGATGTTATAGGGAGTAACAAAGGCTACTATTATTTTAGGAAAATAATTAGGGTTCCGCTCAAAAAAATTAAAACGCACCTAGGGACGAACCCGAGCGAAACGAGGGTGAGTCGCCCGTCATAAATATTTTCTCTTACTAGTGTCAGTAAAGTACCTACTCTTTCATAAATATTTGTTATATATATATATATATATATATATATATATATATATATATATATATTAAAAAGGTTAACTGCCTCGGTGGTGTAGTGGCTAGCATGTACGGCTGCACACCCGGAGGTCCTGGGTTCGAGTCCCGGGTCGGGCTAAGTTTAGTTATTGAGTATTCCTGTAAAGTAAGTCTCAGTAACAGCCCGGAGTTGGGAAGTTGGCGGTGTTTCACCCCCGTGCCTCGGAGAGCACGTAAAGCTGTCGGTCCTGCGCCTTAACTCTCACCGGTCGTGTCGAGTGGTCGTCCCACCGGAGTATGAGAGTGATAGGAATAGAGAGTGCACTTGTGTCTGCGCGTACACTTGAGCACATAATATCTCCTGCGCAGTTGGCTAATCTCATTGAGATTGGCCGCCGTGGCCGGAATCGGCTAGGAGAACATCATCATCATCATCATCATTAAAAAGGTTACTTAATATAATTTCCCTGCCTACTATGTAAGTACTATTTTAATTGCGACAACTTAAAAATGTTTTTTTAGTACAGACAAAATGACTTCCTTTGCATTCATGAAATCGGAAATGGACGCAGCCCAAGCCTTATTAGATCTACAAGGAGATAGTGTTTGTCCTAATGGTAAGAATATGTTTTATATGCATATGTATTTTTATTTCTTTCACTTAAAACGCGTTATTGATGATGATTATTATTTATTTTCAGTTGATGTACATACGATAGAAAAAGCCGCAACAATAGCCAGAATATTTGGAACTTTCATTAGCTCCCCGGTGAGATTAATTTTTATTTTATTTATTTATTAAGAACATCATTTTGGAATATAATATCATAAACAGTTTCTATGTTAATAACTGCATTAGTTATATAACTGAGTCGCAGTTATCAACGCCCACCTCTCTAGCAACAGGCTACAATTGTATATGCTAAACTAGCATTGCCCGCGACTCCGCCCGCGTTCAGATGACCAAAACACAAATTCTTAGGTTTTACATATTAGTATACATACATTGCAATTTTTGTATTTTTTCTCAGAAATGAGACATTTTCCCGCGGTAAAAAGTATCCCATATGTTGACCAGGTTAACCAGCTATCCCCATACCAAATTTCATCAAAATCTTTCCAGTGGTTTTTCTGTGATGCGGTAACAGACAGACAAAAATTCTAAAAACTAGAGATTCGGCCTCTGTATCGATAATAATGTTTATTTCAATAAGATTTTCCAAAAAATATTTCATGTACTGATTCGGCTTAGTTATAATTTTATTATATGTATAGATTAATTGTATCAATTATAATAAGACAAAAAATAATAGTTTTTCAAATATCAATAATACATAAAATAAAATATTCGACAGAAAAAAGTTATTATTGAAATTCTACATTAATATTCCACAATTATACTATTTACATTTGCTACATAGCTTTCTATTATGTATAATAATATTTTTATTGAATCTGTTTTAGGTGACAGAATTGCCTAATGCAAGCACTCCAAAGGCAAAATCGTTTATAAACAAAAGAAATAATGCTGTTGTTACAGAGTCTAATTTTGATTTACACAATAAAGAAAAAATGTGTGATGTGGAGAGCCAAACTGATCTTGAACCAACGCTTTTGGAAAAAAAAGATCAATTAATAAAACAACTCTCAGAAGAAAATGCTTTTTTAAAACTGCAACTCAGTAAGTATAAGGAAAGATCAGCAACGGATTCCGTTAGTGAAAGATTGTCTGAATCTTCTAACGAAAATATTGTTGTTGAGCGAAGTTCTTACAGACACCGTAAGAGATCTTCAACTAATAATACTGACTCAGTAAGTATGATAATCTCTTAGTTCAGAAGCATGATTCAATTAAGCAACCGAAATGACACGACAAACATTCTTAATTAATTTTAGAGTGTCGTTGAAGATACAACAGTTTTAAGAGAACGAGAGGTAAATGATATTGACGAAAACAAAACACTAAAGAAATGTAAAAGGGTTCATAACTTATACAGCGATATGGTATGAATTATGATTAATTAATATATTGAAGTGTGTATATTCTTATATAATATAGAAGTAGAATAATAATTTTGTTTTACAGGTGTCAATAGGAGATGGCAATGCAACGGTTCCGTCTCGACTTCTGAAATATATAGACTGGTCGTCTTATACAAATGCTACTCGAAAATTGTTAACCGCAGTATTTTCACGACAGTAAGAAAACAATAGCTATACTCTCTATGAATGTATTCAGCCCTTTTTTTAACGTCCCACTGCTGAGCACAGGCCTCCCTTCAATACAAGGGGGATCAGGCCATAATCCACCACGCTGGCCAAGTGGGTTGGCGGACTTCACATGTTTTTCGAAAACTTGCTAGGTTCTCTCAGATATGCAGGTTTCCTCACGATGTTTTTCCTTCACCGTTAAGACAAGTGGTAATCATGTTGGAAATGATTCGCATTCTCTATCTTTCATTTTATTCATTCTCTATGAACGTTAAAGATAAACTAAATTTAATAGTAGACATTAAAAAACTTTATATTTTTTAAATATTTTTTTTATATTTTATAGAGTTCTGGCAACTCATTCGCTAACAGGAAAACCATCCCCAGCCTTTCCCAATAAACCAGCCAAAAAGAAGTTAAACGCAGCTTTAGTGAACGATATTGTTCAAACTGTCGTAGAAAAATGTGGTGTTCCAGAGAGCGTAGTAAGGTAAGAATAATAGCAATACCTTGGTAAAGTTTTATAAATATATAACCGCTTTTTATTAAAATGTGATTTACGAGTATTTTCCTCCCTCAAAAAAATCTAAAGACAATAATATTTTCAGAACCAGTATTACTACCAAATGTGCCGACGAAAGCAAAATGTTCAGAACTCGCCAACAACATAAGAAAAAAAGGAAATCTATAAAAAAAGAAAATCTGCCGCCATCGGATGAGTCTGATATTTCAGATGAATCATATCTTTCCACTAAAATGTAGTATAGCATATACAGGTAATTTTATACACTGTCTACAATTATGTTTTAATGTTTCACTGAACCACTTCAGGTAAGTGTAAATACGAGAGGGATAAAAATAATCATAAAAATGTATTTTCTCTACATAATATTTAAATAGGAAATATTTTTAAAGTTTATTTTTATTTATTTCTAAAAGTTTTGTACGTTATTTGCAGAATTGGCGAATCATTTGAGTAATTTTTCCATGGGACAAGTGCAAACACTTAGTAACTAGAGAAGTGTATAATATATATTGACTGAATCGAATTTATTAACATTGTTTGACTGTATCTTTAACTGTATATAATTTTATAAATGAATTTGAATATATCTTTTGGATTTTATTCCACCTTTTTGTTTTACATTAACAACACATATAATTAATTAACTCACGCTTTAGTTCTACTTTCTCAGTATATTTGTTTTTGACGAAAATAATGTTGTAACATTTTTCCAACTACTTAAAAAATTATGTCCATTTTTTACACGTATAAAATAATTTTTAACCGACTTCCAAAAAGGAGGAGGTTCTCAATTCGTCGGAATCTTTTTTATGTATGTTTACCGATTACTCGAAGACGTCTGAACTGATTTGGAATTTTTTTTGTTTCAAAGGGTATACATCCTAGGTGGTTCCATATATAAATTTTATCGAAATCTGTCGAGCGGTTTTTAAAAAAATCAGCAATAAATATTTTTTTAAATAAATTGGTTAATTGAATATGGTATTAAAAAACTTTCTTCTTACGAATTACCTGCTTGTTACGTCTAGACACTTAAAATGGAAAAATAAAAACTTAAAAAAAACCGACTTTGATCAGATATTTTAGAAGTCGGTGCCAACCTACAATATATGAATATTTAATATTTAAATAAGTATGTATTTTACGTATCGAAATATATTAGATTTGCTTTGCATCGGCTGGCATCGACTTCGAAAATATCTGATTAGGTATAATCTGAATCTGATTAGGTAAAATTCTTAATAAAAACCCCCGTTTAGTTATTTTTTACATACCGAACATATATATCCAACTGCACCACTTCAATCCACTGCAGAGATCAATGAAACGTGCAAAAATCACACTATGCCCGATTTCACCAACATCACTTAAGTTACCACCTACGTATGGGATCACTAGCTTAAAAGTTACCTTAAACTAGCCCCTAAATTAAATTTCGTTTTACCGTCGTCAGAACCCGTATTTCTAGTACCTATATTTAGGTGACATTTTAACATTTAGGTGACCCCTAATTGTCGGTGAAACAGAAACTGTCCCCTAACAGCTCCCTAACCATGCTTAGGGGATCCCTTAAACTTAGGTGACGTCGGTGAAATCGGCCATAAGTGTGAAATTATATGTACCTACCCGTATAATCGGTTAAAATAAAGGGCAAGATTAATACCTTACCTACCCTTTTTAGTGTTTACAATAATAATAAGCCATTCGGAAGAGATACCAGTTTCATATTAGGAAAGTAATCATTTCGTTGAAAAGTTAGTTTTTACAACAAAAATATATTTGTTTTGTTTCTTTATCAGTTAAATATACCCATTGTGGTATATCGGCGTTTTTCTCTAATATTGGTTAGACTTGAAAAGCTATTTGAAAAGATTAAGTAGGTACCAAGAAACAAATAATCATTAAATAATGCTCATTGTACCAATAAGCCGGCATTTCCTTTTATTCTTATAGGGATAATAAAAATATGTTAAGCTGAAGTGAACATTGGCTATTAGATTTAATTTTATTCATTTAAAGTTAAAATGGCTTCCATCATTGTTATTACAAAACTTTTTATATAGGATGGTTAACTATGATTACTTTGTTAAAACTATTATTAAAAAAAACTCATTTAAAATTTTGAAACTGAATCTCATTTACAACGTACAAACCTTAGGGCTTAGATCTGTAAAAATATGGTATCACTTATAAAAGGAAGGATAGTATATTATAACACGCATTTGCCTAAAAATATGATACTACTTGCGGCTCACACAAAAACAAATCTGTCCCATGGGAACCGTACATTTTTCCAGGATAAAAAGTAGCCTATATGTTATTCTGATGTATGAGATATATTATTGTAAAGTTTCATTAAAATCCATTCAATAGTTTTTGCGTAAGTAACAAAAATCCATACATCTACATATACAGACATCCCCTCATCCATACATCCTCACAAACTTTCGCATTTATAATATTAGTAGGATATTAGGATTTACTCTTCGCTCTAAACCAGCTATACTCAACCTGTTTTTTATAGGAGCCACAAACACGTTTTAGTCATGGTGGCCGCAGACAAAAGTTATTTAGGTCTTAATGAAAACGTAATTCCAAGTTAACGATGTAGTTACTTTTTTAACAAAGATATGTTATAATTCAATTTTTGATGCTGCCGCATGCGGCCCGCGGGCCGCAGGTTGAGTATAGCGGCCCTAAACTAATCCCATAGAATTATAACTCAAGTATACATAAATACTAAATTTAGCATAATAAAATTATAACTAAGCCGAATCTGTACATTAAATATTTTTTGGAAAATCTTATTGAAATAGACATTATTATCGACGCAGAGGCCGAATCTATAGTTTTTAGAATTTTTGTCTGTCTGTTACCGCATCACGGAAAAACCACTGGAAGGATTTTGATGAAATTTGATATCTTGGTAGCTGGTTATCCGGGTCAACATATAGGATACTTTTTACTGTGGGAAAATATCTCATCTCTGAGAAATCTATACCAAACGTTAAAACGTAAGTAGGAACGAACCCGAGCGGAGAAAGGCTGAGTTGCTAGTACATAATATATGTATGTTAATCTTCTATTGTTGTAAATGTCTTTAGCATATTTTTTTAAAATAACAAAAATGTTATTATTTATTGCGTCTACATATTATATTCTTTTCGTTAGAAGTTCTTTTTGTAACACAACTAAAAGCTCTTATTAAATAAAATATATATTATTAATAACATTTAATAATTCTATGTATGTTAAATGTTATGCTTCTGCGCCAAAACATTGTTGGTTTTAGAACCGCTAGCCACGTACTACTAATTAGTGATTTTTAACCATTAATCTTACTAATATTATAAATTTGAAAGTTTAGACGGATGTTTCTTACTTAATCACGCCAAAAAGGCTGAACGGATCGGGATGAAATCTGAAAAGGCTACTTTTTGTCTCAGAAAAATGTACGGTTCCCGTGGGATATATTTGGTTTTGTATTTCTTGAGGCGAACCCGAGCGAAGCGAGGGTGAGCCGCTAGTTTGTTCATATTTAAATATTGTTTAATGAGTTTTAAATTTCTGTATTTATCTTTAAAACGTATCCTATATTAACTATCTATAAAATCTCAACTTGTCAACTAATTAATTAATATGTGACTTCTACAAACGCAATCTACCTACATATAAGTATATAATCGATGATTTAATTTTCGATGAATAAAATATTACTGTTTATTAAAACTGCATTTTTTTCTAGCAAATGTTTTTGTGAAATGCAACATGCACAAGGGACAGAAACCCTACTTTCTATTGTCATTTTTTGTACCTGGGTAACGCGAAGACGTTTTACCGTTCATTTCAGTTCGGTACTTCCTCGTGGTCGGAAGAGAGTGTAAATATTAACGCAATAAATTCGAAGATGGATCAAAATTTATGGCTTCTCGTTGAGTGGATGGATAATTTTGAGCAAAATATATTTTCTAATTATGCTATAGTGCATACGGATTCCTTGATGAGGCACGATCCTGATATTCATACCGGAAAAGTAGTTGTTCTTCGAGATAAACACAATAATCCTCGTAAGGCGCAAGTTCTTAGATTTTCAGGTGAGTTATTTTATTAATAATAGTACCTGGGCGACCGGGCTTCGCTCGGAGTTTTTGGTCAAAGGTACAATTTTCGTTTAAAAAAATCTAGAATAAATACAAAAAAAGTAAAAATAACCGACCGGGTTTCAAACCCAGACACCTATGAGTGTCAATCTTGCGACTTAGCCGCTTGACCATGATGCTTATATCCAAGCGTGCGAAATTATCGACCATAATTTCAGTGAAATAATGAAACCTCATGAAAACTCAAAAACCCGCCTTTTACCAGACATAAGACTAATTTAGATCGATTTATCGCCCCCGAAACCGCCTGTGTGTTAAATTTCATGAAAATCGTTTCCGAGATTTAGATTATATATTTATATACATACAAGAATTGCTCGTTTAAATGATAAACAATTTTATATGAGAAATTCATTTATACTGTTTCTTTACAATCAAATCTATTCAAAGCCCGTGCTGTACCTTCTTGCATTTGCATGTACCGTTATTTCAAACAAACGAAACGTGAGAAACTTTTTTATTATTATGAGGGTGATTTGATGGTACAAGAACATAATATTGTAAAGAGGCAGAGTTTGTTTATTCGTTTGTTTGTTGGTTGAACGCGCTAATCTCAGGAACTACTTATCCGATTTAAAAAATTGTGCACAACATTTGCATTAGATAGCCCGTTTATTGAGAAAAGCTATATGGTTTATATTATCATGTAATATGTAGTCTATCTATTCCATATTAACCGTTATAATAATTGCTTTGCAGATAAAAAACGGTTTGTGAAAGAGTTAAAAGTTATGCTGGAGAGGCAAGACAATCAAGTAAAAAATGTGTTGTCCTTATGTATGAATGCTATCAAGGAGATGAAGACGGGGCCGATGGTATGTAAAGATATGAAAAATTTGTATGTAAATATAAAAACTAGGTACTTGAGGAATTTAAATTATTTTAAAGTTATTTGAAGCTAATTAAGTGAATAATGATTTATTTCACGGTTTATTAAAATACTAGAAATACCCGCGGCTTCGCCCGCGTCCAAACTTCCGATCGCTAATAAAATTCATAGGATCACTCGCTGGGCTAATCTAAAGATTAACTAAAAAAATATATCAAAATCGCTCTGATAGCTGTTTTGGAGTCCATAGGGAACATACATAGACAATTTTTTAATTTAATCAACAATTTACATTCAAGACATGTAACACCTCAGTCTCTCCCGTGACCATGGATGCTGTAAAGCATTCGAAACGTCGGGAACCAAAAATCAAAATAAATCTGCGAAATAATCCGAAAAAATAGTTTTATTTAATAATGTCAAACATTCGCGTAAATCTAAGAAAGTATTACAACAATTTAAATTTATTTATTGCTCGGAAAACGGAGTCTTTTTATAAAAATTTAGTGACACACCGACTGCAGCGCCACCTACTGGGTCCATTTGTGTTTTCAAACCATCCAGGAGCCCATTGAAATATACACACAAAATTTCATCCAAATCGGTCCAGTCCTTTAGGAGGAGTAGGATATTGCACTGCCTCTGTGGTGTAGTAGCTAGCATGTACGGCTGCACACCCGGAGGTCCTGGGTTCGAGTCCCGGGTCGGGCCAAGTTCAGTTACTGAGTATTTCTGTATAGTAAGCCTCAGTAATAGCCCGGAGTTGGGAAGTTGGCGGTGTTTCACCCCCGTGTCTCGGAGAGCACGTAAAACCTTTGGTCCTGCGCCTTAACTCTCACTGGTCATGTCGAGCAGTCGTCCCACCGGAGTATGAGAGTGACAGGAATAGAGAGTGCACTTGTGTCTGCGCGTACACTTGTGCACTATAATATCTCCTGCGCAGTTGGTTAGTCTCAATGAGATTGGCCGCCGTGGCCGGAATCGGTCAGGAGAACATCATCATCATCGTCATTAAGATATTATTGACTGATTTAAGGAGGAAGAACTTTTAGAGTTAAACTTAATTCGGAAGTTTGTTTTTGTGTGTATGCTATGCGATTACTTTGCCTGTTAAAAATTGATTTTCATGATGTTTTTTTTAATATCATTTTTTATAGATTTTAATCTAAATAACTCATATATTTGGATTAAAATCGATAAAAAAATATGTGGAAAATTTGTGGTAATGTGTGGTACTACTTTGAAGTGATTTTAAAGTCGATGTACTTAGTTTAAAATTACTTAATAATAATTATTATAAATACTTTACACTTAATATTTCTTTTCATTGCAGTTTTTTGGTGGAAATCAGACAGTAGCTTATCCGAGTGGTTCAAGTATATTACACCACGCTCGTGATGATTCTGACTCTAGTGATAGTAATTCTAAACCAGAGGTAACTAAACCTAATATTTTTGACCACATATAAAAATATCAAAAAAATAATAATGTTGTTTTCTATGATATTACAGATTAGTCACGACTTAAATCTTACCAAAACCTCTATCAGATGCGACAATCAATTACGACGAAATGAACTGAGGATGGATGAGCGTATGAGTAGAATGCTAAAAGAAAATTCTTTATTTTCCAACTGTAGACCTCCACTTAGCAGCACGCCGTTACCAGATAGAATGTTTGGGAAAAGTAAATCAGGTTTCGATAAAGCTACTCAAACTGAACTAGCTCCACCAAACCACTTCGAAAAAATTGAACAAATTAATGTAGTTCTTCAAAAGTTATATAGTCAATTTATGGCTTTATTATGTAAAAAAGAAGAAACACAAAATCATTTGCTTGTTGAGAGAGCGTCTTATGGCCGTGAATTATTAGATGTTGTTGAACCACAAATACAAAATGTAGACGACCAAAAAGGAGCAAGTGGTGTAAAAATAAGAAGAGTGTCAGCGCAGACTACTAATAATGTAATGCCGGCTGATAACAGTGATTTGGTAAGTATATCATTAAGATTTTTTTGTCTTATTAATTCAACTACTATGTTTAATTTTATCCCTGTTGAAAAACACCAATAGGATCCCATCAAAAGCGACAAAAGCCACATAGAAACCAATATTTATTGGAGTTTTTAAATAGGGATATTCCGGTTTTCGCTGTATTTGACAATGTTCTATTATCATAAATGATATAAACCTTTTTTGTTTAAGGTCTCAATTGGAAATGGCAATGTTACGATCCCAGCCAGAGTATTAGAAGAAATCGATTGGTCTTCGCACTCTGTAGCAACTAGACAATTGTTACAAGCTGTATTTCCAAGAAGGTAAGATTTAAAGTTTAAAATTTTAGTTCGTTATCATAGGATGTATAGACATACGATTGCATATATGATTTTTCAAAGGCATTTGTTAATTTTACATGTTATATAATATGTAAATATAATTTAATAAAACAAATCAAAAATCTTGTACAATATTATGGATGCTTTGATAAATAATTAAGTTTTATATAATATGTATTTATGTGGTATACTTGTTTTTGCGTAAGCACTAAAGTATTAAAAATTTTAGAGTTCTAGCCACCCATTCTTTAACCGGCAAACAATCACCAGCCTTTGTGAACAAGCCACCAAAGAAACAACTTGACCCGAGAGTAGTGGAAGATATCGTGAATACGGTTTCTGAAAGGTGTGGCGTTCCGCAAAGAATTGTAAGGTATTGTTGGAATAATTACAAATGTTATAACAGTTAACATTAAATATAAAAAAATAAAGTTTGTAACATTTATATTAAATCTAAAACATATGTCCTTATATCGTTACGCGCGCGAATGTTTTTAAAGGTTGCGTATTTGTGTTAGTTTTTTATTAAATTAATTACTAACCGACTTCCAAAAAGGAGGAGGTTCTCAATTCATCGGAATCTTTTTTTTTTAATGTCATCGTCAAATCAGTGATTACTCGAAGAAGTCTCAACGCCGTCCCAGGTATATATACGTCTCCATATAAATTTTATTGAAATCGGTCGAGCGGTTTTTAAAAAAATCAACAATAAATATTTTTAAAATAAATTGTTCAATCGAATCTCTTATTAAAAAAAAAATTTTCTTACAAATTACCTACTTATTACGTCTACACTTAAAATGGAAAAATAAAAACTTAAAAATAAAACTGACTTCCAGGCACTAAAATGTAAATAATATTTACAAGTGCGAGTCGTACTCGCCCACCGAGTGTTCCGTACTTTGTAGGAAATCTGTTTAACTTTAATTTTCAACTATTCTAAATGAAAACTTGAAACTTAATTTTCAAGTTTTTATTTAGAATATATTACTAATCAGATATTTTCGAAGTCGGTGCCAGCCGACAACATATTAAGATATGAATATCTAATAGGTAAATATGTATTTTACGGGATAGAAATATATCTATTAGTACATTTTAGTGCCTGGAAATCTGTTTTAATTATAAGTTTTTTTTGTTTATCAATTATGAATAATTCTTAATCTCAAAACTAATTTTAATAAGTAGAAGGCCTTCCTATTTACTTCCATCTCTTTATCATGCATCAAAATGTCCATAGACATACTTTTTATACTTTATTTTTATATAATTTGGCGTAATGATTACACATAATGTACATACCTACCATTAAAAGTAATAAATTACTCATGGTACTCCTAATAATTTATATTAATATAACTACATTTAATATATGTATCTATGTATATTACAGAAGCTCCATAACAACTAAATGTACTGACGAAGCCAAATTGTATCGTAACCGTCAACGTTACAAGAAAATGCGGGAAGAACAAAATCAAGAAAATATTGCTCCAATATCTTCGGGCTCTTCCGAATCTACTAATATTGGGGAAGAAAATTAAAATGTTCACTTTATCGATGTAAAAATAACTTAAACCATGTTCTTATTACTAATAATATCAAAATTTACAATCAAAAAGGTGACGTATTATTTTTTATACGGCCATAGTTTTATATAGATCATATGTAGGTATTGTGTTAGAATAAAATATATTCATGCAACAAACGATTGCTACATTATGTGTTAATTAATTCGTTTAGAAAAACGAATGGGACTTATTTTGAATAAAGTTGTGATTTAAAAAATAAAATATAGTATTATTTAATTACGAAACAAAATAGTTAACAGTAAATATTTTATTGAACTTACATTAATAAATGTAGTGCATTAATTTATAAATATTTTTTTAGTATTTATAATTTGACTTTATTTATTAATTACCTACTAAGTATTAAATAGGATTCGCGGTTATTCGCCCAGTTCTGTATATTCCATAAGGGCATAGGGGGCACGGACCGCAGGGCCCCACTCCCCAGAATAACGAGGGTCCCGAAAATACAACATTTCGTTTGTATATAAAAGACTGCTTAACGTTTAAAAGACTACCTAATCGTTTAAAAAATGTTTTAAGCTAAAATTGTTGAAAATTTCATTCTCTACAACTTTTATAATAAACGAAATTAACATTTAATGCACAGGAGATGAAATGTTGCTTTTTGTGACCTTTAACCATCTTTACATAGAACAAAATAAAGTAGCTTCGGCTGTCTGTTCGCTAATCGCTTAGACCTTTAGAACTGCTCAACGGATTTTAATGCATTTCTAGCAATAGATAGAGTGATTCAAGAGGAAGGTTTATATGTATAATACATGTATATTATAGTGCAGAAAAGCCGAGAAATAAAAAAAAAAATATTGTTCGATTACATTGCCTACCCAGGGACAAACCCGAGCGAAGCGAGGGTGAGTCGCTAGTAGATAATATATATACTTACTTTATATGCACAGTTGTCAGTTCTTAAAAAACATCTCTTCAAAAATTGGCCTTGAAATGTGACGTGTGATTAAAACCAAAAAATAAAACCCTTACATCGTAAGTTCTGATTGTCTAAGAACAAAGAGCTTATGCTTATTTACAGTACAAGTTTACGCATAAAAGTTATAACTTACGGTTGTCACTTGCCCGATTCGTATTATTGTACATCCTAAGTCTAATTTATATATGTAGCAATATACTCTATGGTCTAATTGTAACATTTAAAACTAGTTATATTACAGTAAGGTACTTACGTATTAACTCCAACGCTGTAGAATTAAATTGTTGGCGGCACTTAGAACCCGCGCCACATCTCCCTGTTTTCCAATTACAGAGCATAATGCCGTACTTTGGCGCACAATGCCGAAGTGGGCTTTGCATAATTGGAACTAAATTAGTTTTCAAGTGCACCAGCAGAGGGCAGTAGGTTCAGCAATGAAAGAAAAAAATATAACTAAATTATGTATATAATAATATACATTATTACATATCGTCAATATTATATAATAAGTATATAATTAATATATAATTATATAAATAAAATATAAACAAATATTACTAACTATAATGTAAATGAAATTTTGATCAATGCCACCTTGAAGAAAAAACACTTCTATTTTCTGTTAGTGAGTTGGTATCCTTGCGCGCATCACGCCAAAGCAGTACCTACTACCTACTTTTCAAAATGCTCGATTGAGCGGAGCGTTGCTGTAGTTGAAACATTCGAAGATAGCATTATGCCGCATAATGCGCTTTAGTGCTCTAATTGGAAAACAGGATGTAGTTATGGCGGCGTATTATTTTAAGGATTTAGCAATTATTGGAATATTCAAAAAATATATTTACGCCACCGCCGCCATAGATTTGGCGGGTTTAAACTATTAAGTGCCGCTAATCTACATCGATGGTGTTAATACGTAAGTACCTACACTAAATTTGATTAACGTTTAAGTAAATACGGTCAGTCAAAAATAGCACTAATAAAGTATAGAAGCTGACTCATCAATAGTATGTGGACTGGTCCCGTATTTATGACTAATAAAATTCAAATGAAACAAATTCATGCGTGTTTAGTAAAGCAGTTGCGACACATATGAAATACACAATTGTATTTTTTTAAACAATACAAATAAATGTGTTTCTTTTAATCTTATATCTTTCGGCTGCAATGATTTTCATGAAATTTAGTGTAAATCTATGCCCCAAAAAATTCGTTTGAGTTATAGATTTTTGTGGTTAAATGCGAATACCGATGTAAATATATGTTACGGGTAATCGAAGATTTTAGTTAAAATTCTGATTTATCTGGGTCTGATTCATGTGGTCAAAAACCCATATGAAAGTGGTACATTTTGTTTAAGTTATTTATCATACAATCATCATTAAGATCAGGTCCCAAGCATCACGACACCGCAACTGCGACACAGCGAAAGAAAAATTATATAATATATATATATAGGATGTCACATAGACGGATGCAGTGCAAATAGCCATAGCTATGCTGATGATAAGGTGCTGCTCAGTCCATCAATTAGATGTTTGCAGAGGCTCCTTTCTATTTATGAAAGATATATTAAAAGTCATGGTTTAGTTTCCAATAATAAAAAATCTGTTACTTTGGTATTTAAATATAAAAATGGATCTGGCTATGTACCTGACGTTGTTCTAAATAATGTTAAGCTTGATCGTGATATAAAATTTAAATACCTTGGACATGTAGTAAATGAAATGTTAACAGATGAGGACGACATAGAGAGGCAACGTAGAGCATTGCCGATGCGTGAAAACATTTTGACCCGTAGATTTGCTGTGTGTACAGACCAGATTAAAATTGCACTCTTTAAGGCCTATTGTCACGTACACGTTTTCAATGTTTCTTCTGTCTTTTTCAAATATTTAGATAGCCTAGATATTGTTGTGCGTAGTGGTTGTTCTCATGGATGTTCTACAAAAAACACACTGGTGGTTTTGTTGCTGTCATAAGAAAGAGGATCGCATGTCTGGGACAGAGGATAAATGACAGCACAAATTCTATTATGAAAGCCGTAGAAGATTTTGGGTAAAATTTCTCCAGACATAGATTTTTCATATTATGTTTTAGTTTAAATATTTATATTTATTTATTGTTCTTAATGTAGGAAACTTTTGTATTTATTTAATTTAGTTTATAATTTAATTTTAGTTTGATTTACCTACTTTTCACATTGTATGGAAAAGTGTTTCGAAATAAAGATTTATTATTTATTCGTGATTTATTAAATATATATTATAAAATTAATAAAAAATAAAAAAAGTTATAAGTAATAAAAAAGAGTAATATTATATTATTCAGACTTGGTTTTTTGTTTTTATTCCTGTTTCTGATTCATCTGTCATGAATTTTGATTCATAAGGGCCCTAAAAATTTCAAGTTAAATATCTCAAAAATTATTTGATTAAAATGAGTGTGTAATATATGTTATTTGGCATGTCTTTAATCATAAGAGTATGTTGAATAGAGCCAAAAGTGAAAATAATTTTTGGTCATATAAATCAGACGAAGAACGTAATCTTGGAGAAATACCCAGTCCAGGTACTGCAAATAATACACGTATTTATAAAATACAAAATGGAAGTTATTTCATAAATGAAAATAACATGTAGTAAACATTAATTTATAATACTCGCCCGCAGGTAAAATGTCACACATTCGATATCCCACAATATCGATCGAGAAAAAAATGTTTCGGAAAAGTGGACTTAACGATTGGCGATCATGGCTGTAACTGTCATCTTGTCAAACGTCCATAAATATTAATGTCATGTAAGCATTGTTGTTTTAGGTTACTCGCGAATCGCGATAGTGCTTAAAGTTTTACTAAGTTCGGTTTTGTTATCTCTCGGTTCTCTTATTAAAATGGAAGACCACGATGATGAATTAGTTGCATCGGAACACGATCGCCTTGTTAGTGCCATAACAAAACTCGACAAAACACAACACATTACGGAGCCTACTAGAAATGAACCTACAAATCTAAATTCGGAGTTTAATTTAATCAAGTGGTCAAATAAATTAAAACTTGATAATGTCATCAAAGTATTAGAAGATACAGCTAATAACGTTAAAATTGGTAAGAAACTGAAAAAAACACAAGATGCAAAAAAAGTACTTCCTAAACCTTTGGAAAAACCACAAGCTGAGCGCATAAAAAGAGCTACTGGATATGAACAAACTAAGAAAAAAGTGGGAAGATGGGATTCCGTTGTTGCACGAAACCGAACTGTTGATTTTGTTTCTTTTCCTTTAAAAACATTCTCAAGCAAACTGCAACCAACAGATGATTTTTTGTCAAAATTAAAGCTTAAATCACAGTTAGAAAAAGAATTAGAAGAAGTTGATCCTCTACCTGCAGCAGAAGAAGTTGAAGATGAGGAAAAAGTGTATCCAATGAGTTACCAAGAAATGCTAGAACATAGACAGAATCTGGCAAAATTAAGGGCTCAACAATCTTATAAAGCTGCAAAGGCAAAAAGACAGAGTAAAATAAAAAGTAAAAAATACCACCGGTAAGTGTAAATACAATTAATTATCATTTTATATTAGTAAGTCTATGCATGGTTAATTATGCATGGTAGGGTCTAAATAAAGGGTTTTTTAATTATATTTTATTACTAGTGTCTTACCCTCACTTCGCTCGGGTTTTTCCCTAGCTTGCTTCCCAATACAAATTTCATCCCCATTTTTACCCCCTTAAGACATGATTTCCGGGATAAAAAGTATCCTATGTCCTTCCCAGGGTCTCAAACTATCTTCTTACCAAATTTCATCTAAATCGGTTCTGCAGATCCAGAGATTACCCCCTACAAAGTCACGAACTTTACCTCTATAGTATTAGTACAGATATTATTATTAGTAAGTTTAATTGTAGTAATATCAATTTAAACTTTAAGGATACTCAAGAAAGAAAAGTTGAAACAACAATTGCAAGAATTTGAAGAATTGCAAAGTAAAGATCCTGAAGAAGCACTTAAAAAACTAGAAGAGCTTGAAAAAGCTCGTGCACTAGAAAGGCATACCCTTAGACATAAGAATACTGGTAAATGGGCCAAAAGCAAATTAGTTAGAGCCAAGTATGATAAAGAGGTATTGAAATGTTAATTTTATTCATTTTCAATTTAAGAATTTTTGCTATAGCTTTTCAAGTCATAAATGTTTACACAAATTTTATATGAAAAATTCCTTTATAATAATATTAGTTTAAACCCATGGCTTTGTTCTTATAGTTATCTGTAAAAACTAAGGCATTATATAAAAGAAATATTGAAACTAAATAATTTATTTAACATTTTAGGTCAGACAACAGTTAGCAGAGCAATTATCTGTCAGTAAAGGCCTAACACAAAAGGTACAAAATTTTGAAAGTACAGATGATGAACTTGATGATGAAAATATACCAGACATAACGTTAAATCAGGATCCAATGAACCCTTGGATGATGAAGAGATCTGATAAAACAAATGTAGATTCAGAATTTGATTTTGGTTACAAAAAATATTTGAAAGATAAAATGTATATGCGTAAAGAAAATAGTGATTCTGAATCAGATGAAGAAAATGAACAATCAAATAATAAAGTAGATATTACTTTAGCAGACTTAAGAGAAAGTGTAAATAAATTAAGTAAAAAGGATAGTATTTGTACTGAGCCAGTAGAAAAGGAACAATGTGAAGAAGGAATAGGTAATGGAAAACATATGAAACCTGCCAAAATTAAAATAACAAAATCTGCTCAAAAAATGAAAAAGAAGACAAAAACTGTTGCTACTTCAGAATGGATGGTTGAATCGATTGATAGTCAATCTTTGAGTAGGAAAGATGCAATTAAATCTGTTGACATTGCTTTTAACAATTTCGAAAATAAGGTTACTGGAAAAGTGGAAAAGAAAATACAATTGTTAAAAAAAGAAATTAACAAATTGGAAGAACAACCCAAAGAATCAAAGGGTACAAAAGCAAATAAAGTTAGAGAAACAGACAGTATAGAGTATTTAAAATTCAAAAATCAAAATTTAAAACCATTTATTGATGAACATTTAATAGAGACTCATAAAGGTGAAGAGGTAATAAACAATGCTCCAATAGCAAATGTGAATGTCTGTCTCGATGAGGCTCCTAAAGGAAATAGTAATATGGATATTGATCCAAGTAGATTTATTGAAGTTAAGCCTAAATATCTAAATACTGCATTATCAAAAGAGGAACATGGTGTAGATGATTTAGATGACGAAGAGCAAGTAGTTCCAAAAGTTGACATTGAAGAAGTTTTTGAGGAAGATGATGTCGTTGCTAGTTTTAGACAAGAAAAAGAAGATGAGGTCAACAAAGACACTCCACAAGATATAGATTTGACTCTACCTGGGTGGGGAAGCTGGGGCGGCAAAGGAGTTAAACCAACTAAAAGAAAAAGAAACCGGTTTATTTTAAAGGCACCACCAAAAATACCCCGACGTGATGACAATAAAGGAGATATTATCATTAATGAAACTAAAAATCCTAAACTTACTACCCATCAAGTTACAGACATACCCTTCCCATTTAACAGTGTTAAAGAGTATGAAGCAAGTATAAGAACACCTTTAGGTAACACTTTCATACCAGAAACTGCTCATAAAAAACTTATCCGTCCCAGTGTTATTACTAAGGCTGGTACTATTATTGACCCTATGGAAGAAGATGAATTGTTAGTAAAAAGAAATCTTGCATTTAAAAATGGTTCTGTTATCAAATTGTTGGCTAAGAAATAAAACATACTGCTAATAATAATCTTTTATTCTTAAATCTAAATACCAACACGAATTGGTGGAGATACTAAAATTACACCATCTCCTCTGACAAATAACATTGGAATATTTCTTTTTGTTGTTCTGTATACTTCTTCATATGTTTCTTCATCAATTTCTACTGTTGTAATAGTTTCTTCAGCATCTCCCAAAACCATATTTAAATGTTGGTCATATGCCTAAAACAATAATATAACTTGAAAATTACTATATAAGAAAAGTGATACTGCATGTTTGTATGTAGATCTATTTGATTGAAATGAGACTTAACATTTTAAATTCTTCCCATTTGTATCAAACAACATTCATTATTGATTAATAAGATTGATTAACGAAAATGATAAAACAACAGATTTGGATTATTCATTACACACCTGCAACATATATTTTTGGATAAATATAGTTTATTCATTTATGTATATATTACACTATTAATGTAGTTTAAATGTGTGCACAAAATAGGGTGACACAACTCTATTTTCTAGTTTTCATTAATAAGACCAAAACACATTTTACTATATTTTTATTAACAAAGGATATGTGTACTCGGAATAGGGCGATACAATACTGCGTACTACTGTACTTCATTTCATTCAAGAACTGTCACACAAAAGCTGAAAGAAGAATGAAGCTGCTTTTACAGTTTACTTTTCCTATGGTGCAACACTGTGAGGGATCGATTCTCAGATCTGTCGTTGTTTTCATTTTTTTCTAAGATTTAGGATGCCTAAATAAGTAAATGAATATATAAAAAAATAAGTAAAATGTTTACAGACATGAAGTTTCCCGCGTAGCTCGCGTTCATTTCGCATTTTAACATATATTCTTTCATCGAGGCTTAGCCTTATTAAATCAAGAGGTTCTTTTACTGTCATCACGGCTACCTGCAATTACATAATAGCTTTATTAGTTTGTTATTATAAATCATTCATTATTCAATTTAAATATTTAATTTGTGACAATCAAACAGCAAGAATTTAGTTAACTAACATTATCACCGTCATCAGCCATGATGATTTCCCGATTAATTGATTAATCAGTTATTCAAATAATCTGAATTTTAAAAAGTAAACTATCACTAAATGAAAATATTTTTATTTTAAAATTATATTTAAGGTTATGCCGCATCAAAATATAGCACAGGTCAGAAACGACGAGAATTACAGAGGGCCTCTGTCAGAGGCCAGTGGCCACAGACTAACTAGAGTCTAGAGATAACTATAACTTATAAGTCTAACAGAAACCATAGATGAATATTAAAGAAAACAACTGTTAATAGAAGAATAAAGGCAGTGGTAGCCCAGTGGTAACGCGCTCACTTGGGAAAACCGAGTGAAGCGGGTTCAAATCCCGGGTCTCGCACCTCTGATATTTTCATGTGCGAATCATTTCCAACATGTTTACCACTTGCCGTACGGTGAAGGAAAACATCGTGAGGAAACCTGCATGTCTGAGATAATCTAGCAAGTTTTCGAAAGACATGTGAAGTCCGCCAACCCGCACTTGGCCAGCGTGGTGGACTATGGCCTGATCCCCCTCTTATTGAAGGGAGGCCCGTGCCCAGCAGTGGGACGTTAAAAAGGGCTAAATGCAATAGAAGAATAATTTATTGATATTAAATATCTTCTCTAGTAAAAAGAACATGGATGTAAAAACCGTATATAATATAATATATATATATAAATAAATAAAATTGAAGTGTCTGTTTGTAATGTCAAAATAACAGCTTTTACTAAATGCATAATATGAAATTATATACGGCACATATAATAAAAAACACATTTTTTAACATTTTTGTCTGTCTGTCTATTTCTTCCGACTAAGCTCCGAAACGGCTTAACTGATTTTGACGAAACTTTCACTAGCAGATATCTGATGATATAAAGAGTAACTTAGGCTACTTTTATTTTAGAAACAGAATTAGAGTTCTGCTAAAAAAATTAAAACGTACGTAGGGACGCACCCGAGCGAAACAAGGGTAGGTTGCTAGTATGTTCACTATATTTTTGATGTTATAATACCTTAAAATATAGATAGATGACTAATAAAATATAGATCAAGATAATATTTTAGATATCATTTACGCGCGCGTGTTCTTGTGTTGGGAGTATTTGTGTGCGTGGTGTATATACATAATATTATTTGTATTACTCATTAACGCTATACAACTACTTAAGATTGAAAACTACACATATTAGGACCTGCAGTAATACTACCCCTGAGCACCTAGGGACGCATCCGAACGAAGCGAGGGTAAGTCACTAGTAAATAGTAATACTATAGTAGATATAACTCGCGTCATCTAAAGAGAACACTGGCTGTCAAGCTGCGCAGAAGCGATTTATCGGTCAAATTGGTGGTAAGAAACGGGGCGCGGGGCGGCGAGAGGCGGCGGGGCACGCGCCGCATGTTTGCCGGCGCGGTATTGGTTGGACAGTCTGAAATACCATCGCGCACACAAAAGTTTTTAATTACGAAATGGTTTTATATATAGAAAAGAGAAAAATTGTTTTTGACGTATATTGTTTTACAAAGAGAGAGTCTAATAATAATGCAGTTAATAATAAAAAAATGTATTAAACGTATTAATTTAATTTTTTGTAAGTAGATTAAACATTCTGCACTGAATCAAACATATTTTAATAATGAATAGAATTCTATTTAATGATATTATATCTATTATATTTTTCAAAGTCCCTACCAATAACGAATATATGAAAAATAAAATAATAGGCTTAGTACTTTTGTGCGCGAGTATACCCATGCGCAAACATACCCTCTCCGCTTTCTTCTAGCGTTCTTTTTAGATGACGCGAGTTATACTATACTCGGCGCGGCGAACCTTGATCCCTATGACACTGACAGCTAATGTCACCATATAACATTGTAGTGGCGTCACCATTAAATTGGGATCATATTGGGGGCGTCTAAAAATGCCATTTATAAATTTTACGTAGCTTTATACTATTAGTAATGATATTCCGTTGATATTTTTAACAATTCTTAACATTTACAAGAAGTTATCTCATTCTGAATTTATGTTTACGTCCTGCAAAACTTACGTCGTGTGACGTTTATCGACTAGAGCGGCAAGAATCGATAAAAAAATGTCGGTAATGGAAACAAATGCACATTTTTTTCATACATTTTAGTTCATATATTATGGAATGGAACAGAATATTACGATCATAGCATTCATACATACATGATTATATTATACCCAAGAAAATTAAAAAATAACAGCTATAGGACAAAATGAAATGAAACAAAATCTGTTTAATAATTATTTATTTACATACACAGGGTCAAGGGTGTAACAAAAGTAAGTGATAATACTTTAGGGTTTGCATGTGTTACTTATATAGTTTACAGTGAAAGTACTCAGCGCTGAAAGCGAAAATTTTTTTATTGTGATTTGTATGGGCAAGCGCCACATGAGCAAATTATCGACACGACCAAAGACACGACCCATCACTAACACGAACTGTCATAGGGATCAAGGTTCGCCGCGCCGAGTATAAAGATACCTATAAAAAACACATTACAGAGTCTACGCAATCAAACAAAACGAAAGTAAGTGGTTAGTTCAAAGTTAGAACACGAGATTAGTCTTAAATAATAACTAAACTTAACTTAACTAAACTTATTAGATAAATACTGATGTAATTAATATTGTTTAATTATTTCGTAAATATTTTTTTAAAATAATATGTTTTTGGTAACTACACATAATATATTTTTAATGTATACGTGTGCCGTTTCTATTCTGTATTTACCTTTATCTATGGTCGTCTGACATGAAATGTGTTTTTACTTTCTAGTGTTGTTTTATAATTTGTTAATTTTAAATTAGTTATCGTGACTAAATTGGCGTATTTAGTAAACACATAATGTGAAAACTATTTTAATTTAAGGTTCAGACTAATCTATTCATTTCATTTTGAGTTCTATAAGTTTTAACTGGTGTAATTATGGTTAGAAGTGGGTAAGTTTGGCATTAAAGCACTATTTATTTATTAATTCGTGTAAAAATGTCTATTTATCTTATAAATTTGCGTATTATTTTATTTTTTTATAGAAGAGACAGGGATCGAGATCGTCGGCGGTCACATAGCCGATCTGCCACTCCAGAGCGTAAGCGTCGACGATCTCGTTCAAGAAGTAGAGATCGTAACTCGAAGTCTTCGAAGAGGAAGCGCAGCCGTAGTAGAGAAAGAGAGTCAAAACGAGACCGTAGTAGAGACCGATCCGATAGGGATAGGGATCGTAAAAGGTTTGTTTCTAAATTATTATAAATAATTCAGTACACTTTGAAATATGACTATGGTATGGTATAAAACGGACTTGTTTCCGCAACTCGACATCTGCGCGCCTATTTTGCGTGTGTGGGAATTTTTTCCAAATGTTCACTCTTGCCAGCCCAGTTCCTCCAGGAACTTCAGCAGTCTCTTCGTCCTACCGAAGACCTCCGGGAGTGTACTAGGGGTGCCAAGATGTTGAGCCCGGTACGCCGCTACACCTGGAAATATGACTAATAAATATAACATTTGGTTCTTTGTTTGTAGTGATAAAAGGGATGATAAACGAAATGGTTCTAGTAGCAAATCTAGGAAGAAATCGCCTGATAGGGACAAAGATCGAGAAAGATCTAAATCTAAGGAGAAGACTGTTAAATCAGAATCTGGAGAATATAACCCTGGGACTGTTGATAAGGTATGCTATATATACTATTATACTTTTGAAAACTATATTATTACTAGTTTTTAATATTAAATCACACCTACTGTTGTATATTTCCTATAATAAAGAATTTATATTTTTAAATAGGAAGAAGAGCAAAGTCGTTTGGAGGCCGAAATGCAGAAACGGCGTGATCGCATTGAAAGATGGAGGGCAGAGCGCAAACGTAAAGAATTAGAATCTGCAAAGAAAGAGGTACAAAAAGGCAGTATTGTCACTAATATCCAAGTGCCAGCTGCTAAAAAATGGTCTTTAGAAGATGATTCCGGAGATGAAGGTTAATTGGATTAACTCTTATGTACTGTATAATATTAGTATAGATTTGAATTTGGTTGTTTTAGTTTAAGTAATATTTTTTATCTACAAGAACTGCTATATTATACTGTTACTATATTATAGGTGAAGAAGGTGAATCAAAAGAAAAGCAAGCCATTGAAGAGAAAAAGGTAGAGGAAGATGAAATAGACCCTCTAGATGCATATATGCAAGAAGTTCAGCAAGTAAGATACTTTCTTTATATTCCTTGTACTAGCTTAGGGGTCGTCCATTCACGTCACATGATGTTTTTTTTGCAACTTTTTGACTCCCTCATTCCACTCCAGGTTTATATGTTTGTTAGGTTTTAGACTAATCCAAAATCACGTAAATTTATTTTTTCGTTGAACTTCACCATTAATTGTTCTTTTGTTGAATTCAGAAGGCTGGAGAATTTCTCACAGAAGTATGGAATATAATAATATGGTTATCGACGGCTATGACGTCGTACTAGAGTTAGTCGGGCCCGATGACAGTGCTGAAAGCTTTATTTCAGACCTGCCTTCTCCGCAGTGGTATAGCGAGCATGTGAATGTGTTTCGAGACTCACGTGATTAATGGACAACCCCTTATGTGTTATTAGAGTTTTACCCTGGCATTGCTTGGGTGTGGCCCTATATATCTAATTTTCTTTACAAATACATATATACAAAAAATATTATATTTCACAAATGATGACACAGATTTCCCAAATAAAGTGCTAAAATACTGCATTGGGGCTGTATTTAAACGTTTATTATTATGTTATTTGACCTGTAAGTCAAGCCACCCAGAATATAGCAAATTAAATTAACTTTAAGGTTAATAAAGACAATAAGCAATTATCACACTCTCCACTCATAAGAATCTGATACTCTGAAAAACAATGAATAATTAAGGAAACATAAATTTTATGAACAATTAGACCATTCCAGCAATATCGACGTGTGTAGCATCCAGTCGCGGTCGCAGGAGCACTATATAATCCGCGAGTAGGCGAGCGACATCACCTCAGTTTTTAGCATAAGATAGACTAAGTAAAAAATTGTAAAAAGTATTTAATTAATTTTTTTTTTTAAAAGTCTATCTTTTGAAATATTTGGACTTGTATACGATTTAAATTATTTAAGATCTTTCATATCGCCTGACATAACATAATTTAATGCTAGTTATGTATTTAACAATGAAAAATGTTTTTTTTTTCAGGAAGTTCGTAAGGTAAATCAAATGGACCAAAATAGAGGTATAATTAGTGTACCAACAACCGGTGGTACTGGTGTTATGATCCTGACAGGAACTGCCAAGAAAAAGGTTACAGAACAAAAAAATAAAGGTAATACATTGGTTCATGTAATAATATTATTAATTGGTCTTTTGTGAAATGTTTCTTTCTTTAATACAGATTTTGAAATTGGCAAATGAAAAAGTTTTGATGTTCTGTTTTATTTTTTTAGCTACTTAAGTAAATTATAACATGCATGGATATGGATAGATAAAATATTTCAACTATATTGTCTCAATCTTCTATCTTTGTTTGCTTTGCAAAAACAATCTGTCTACATCAACAGTGACCAGGCTTTCAGTATACCTTACTAGAGAATTCCATCAAATTAGTACTTTCCACTTATCCAAAATCAATATTATTGATGAGAATATTATTGGCAGTAAAACCGACTCGGCGCGACGCTGTCATGCCATCATGCCCTTTTTACCCCCTTTTTACGCGCGCGCGTATACTGTACACGCTACATTGTAAAACAATCTCTATTAAAAATACTTAATCTCAAGTAATAAGTAAAATAATTATTTTATAAACGAAACTCTATTTTTTGTTTCACATCTGCCAGGCGTGCCGTGACGGCCATTTTTTTTTTAAATATTGAATCGGGAAATATCATTATAACCATTTAAATGTGTGATTATTTACAGGTGAACTAATTGAACAGAATCAAGATGGTCTGGAATATTCTTCTGAGGAAGAGACGGAAGATATTAAAGATGCTGCTGCAAATCTAGCTTCAAAACAAAGAAAGGAATTAGCTAAAGTGGACCATTCTAGCTTAGATTATATGTCATTTAGAAAAGCTTTTTATACTGAAGTGAGTATAATCATCATTGATTTATACTGTTACTTTAATATTTCTTTTCAACTATAGTTGTCAAATTTATTATATTTACATAAAGTACTTGAGCAATAGAGATAATATAAAAATCAAAACCATACCTAAATATAAAATTTGATTCTAATTGTTAGCACAATTTCTGAGATACAATTCCTCATTTATGTTTATAAGATTTTATTGTTTTGTACTAGTTTTAAATATATTTGTAATTTTTATGTGTAAAAGTTTCTCGAACAGGTGTAATAATTTATTATTGAATGACTAATAAATATATTAAAATATAGAAAATAAATATTGTAAACAATATTTATTTTGTATTCTTATTTTTTTCTAGACAAAATTAAATTATAATATAAAGAAAAGTAAAATGTATTGATATTGTATGTGTATTTACAGGTAAGTGAATTAGCTAGAATGACTCCTGAAGAAGTAGAAGCTTATAGAACAGAATTAGAGGGCATCAGAGTGAAAGGAAAAGGGTGTCCTAAACCAATCAGAACTTGGGCTCATTGTGGTATCAGTAAAAAGGAGATGGATATTTTGAAGAAATTGGGCTTTGAAAAACCCACGCCCATTCAAGCTCAGGCCATTCCAGCTATTATGTCAGGAAGGTAAGATAAGATTCAGGTTTAGTTTTTTTTCTACATAGATTAATTATCTGTATATCTATAGGAATAAATAAAATTGAAGTGTCAGTTTGTAATGTCAAAATAAGCTTTTTACTAAATACATATGAATTTTTGTTTATCTACCTGTTTGTTAATCTGCCGGCTAATCACCGAAATGGCTGGACCGACTTTGACGGGACTTTCATTGGTAGATATATGATGTACTCATACTCCTTAGTCCTTACAGGAGTAACTTGGCTACTTTTATTCTGGAAAAAAATTAAGGTCCCGTGCAAAAAAAAATTTAAAACCCATGAAATTGTTAACAAAATCCCCGTACCTAGTTAGTTAAGCACCCGAGCGAAGCGATGGGTAATTTCTAGTTATAAATAATAATTATTAAACTAAAATCAAAGTATCAATAAGTGACATAATTCTGAAAAGTAATAAGGACCTATTGCTTGTGTGTGTATGTTTTTATTACTTGAAATATTAAATAGTGACTTACCTTTGCTTTACTCGAGTGCGACTCTCGGTACGTATATTCAGCATTGCTACAGTTTAGTAGATCTTTTTAAGAGAAATAATCCTGTAATATATTGTCTTCATATTACTGCATTGGTTTACGCGGCACATCCCATTAAAGGTCATCATCGTCATATTTCATCCAATTTACACAAAGCTTTAATGAATTATACACACTTAGGCCTCCCTTATGAATTTTTCCTTCCTTTTAATTTGTGAAAAATATGAAAATCTGTCCGGTAGCTTTTGGATTTACTGCGTTCCGACAAACAAAGAGATACACATAAACTTTATTTTATTATAACTTATATTTTATTGATGTTATATACGTAGGAAGCAGAGCCGCAGGCAAAATTTTATGTTTTAATGAAGTCGCCTATGACTTTTGTACAATTTAGATTAGGTATAGTTAATAGTTTTGTTTTTCATATTTATTGTAATTTCAGAGATCTAATAGGTATTGCAAAGACTGGTTCTGGAAAAACTTTAGCTTTTATTCTCCCGATGTTCCGGCATGTTCTGGACCAACCCCCATTAGAAGACACAGATGGACCAATATCACTAATAATGACCCCTACACGAGAACTATGCATGCAAATAGGAAAAGATATCAAGAAATTTGCTAAATCTTTGGGCCTAAGAGTGGTTTGTGTGTATGGTGGCACAGGAATTTCTGAACAGGTGTGCGTTCTCTGCTTTTTTTGTTATAGAGAAGTGAGGGTGAGTGGCCAGTTTATAATAAAATTAAATGATATCGATACACCTATACGGATAAATAAAATTGAAGTGTCTGTTTGTAATGTCAAAATAACAGTTTTTTACTAAATACATATCAAATTATATACGGTACTTATAAGAAAATACAATTTTTAATCTTTTTGTCTGTCTGTCTGTTTGTTCCGGCTAATCTTCGAAACGGCTGAATTGATTTTAACGGGACTTTCACTAGCAGATAGTTGATGTTATAAGGAGTAACTTAAGCTACTTTTATTAAAAAAAAAAACAATTTGGATTCCACTCAAAAAAATTAAAACGTACCTAAGGAGCACCCTAGTAAAGGCAAGGGTAAGTCGCTAGTACAATAATAATAACCCCACCCAATTTAACCATGTACAACAGATAGCAGAGCTGAAGCGCGGCGCGGAGATGATAGTGTGCACGCCGGGGCGCATGATCGACATGCTGGCGGCCAACTCGGGCCGCGTCACCAACCTGCGCCGCGTCACCTACATCGTGCTGGACGAGGCCGACCGCATGTTCGACATGGGCTTTGAGCCGCAGGTGCAACATAATTATCCTACTAATCTGTATATATAAATATTATAAATGTGAAAATTTGTGAGTATGTGTGTTTGTTACTCTTTCACGCCAGAACGGCTGAACGGATCTGGATGAAATTTGGCACAGAGATAGATTATAGTCTGGAATAGCACATAGGCTACTTTTTATCTCGGAAAAATATACGGTTCCCGAAGGATAGATTTGTTTTTGTTTTTCTAGAGGTGATCCCGAGTAATGCGCGGGTAAGCCGCTAGTAATCTAATATATTTAAACGCAACGGCTCCAACGAATTTCATGAAATTTAGTATAGGATATATACGATATACGGCGATAAATCGATCTAGATTAGTTTTATATCTGGGAAAACGCGTGTTTTCGAGGTTTCATGCGGTTTTGTTTCACATTATTCCACGCAAAATATGGTCGTTAATTCGCATGCTAGGTCATAAGCATCGTGGTAGAAAGCAGCCAAGGCTCAAGTTTAACGACCACAGGTCTGGGTTCATATCCCTGTCAGATACAAAGTTTTTACTTTTGTTTTTTTTAATATTGATTCAAGTTTTTAGTTTTAAAAAAAAATAAAGCGAATTATACTTTAGGCTAAAAACTCTGAGCAAAGCTCGGTAGCCCAGGTACTGTTATAATAATAAGTAAAGGTCCCGTCACGTATAAAGAACGCTGAGTGACAGTTAAGGGAATTACTAGCTATTGTTTTATAATATAAGTGTTAATTGTTTTATTGTAGAATCATAATAAGTACTTCCCCTTCGCGCCCACTTCATACAACCAATGTATTAATATAAATTTAATTATCGATATAAATCGCTTCGTGCGCAGGTTTTTACGCGACGAGGACTATAACTAGGCAGTAAACAATTTTTTCGGAAGATATTTTAAGTCCACCAATCCGCACTTGGCCAGCGTGGTGGACTATGGCCTGATCCTCCTCGTACTGAAGGGAGGCCCGTGCCCAGCAGTGGGACGTCAAAAAGGGCTGAATAGATAGATAGAAGTAATTAAAAAAATATAACTAATTTACATAATAGAACAATTAGTAAGAAGGCTAATAACTTTGTTATTAATCAGGTGATGAAGATAATAGACAACGTGCGTCCGGACCGGCAGACGGTCATGTTCAGTGCGACCTTCCCCCGCCAGATGGAGGCTCTGGCTCGACGCATCCTGCAGAAACCTATCGAAGTTCAGGTATGTATCTAATACAAATATTGTATATGTGAAAGTGTGTTTGTTTGTTTGTCTGTCTGTCTTTCTTTCTCGTTGAAACAGAGTGATGGATTGGCGTCATTTTTTGTGTGGAGATAGTTGGAGGGCTGGGGAGTGACATAAGCTATTTAATTACCGTGGGAGATTACCTCATTCCCTTGTGAAAACACGTTAAAATACAACCCACAACGACTTATCATACCTATGTATATCTATCTATACATAATATGTATACCTGTGTAGATAAACAAGAAAAAAAAGGTTAAAAAATAATAGTTTTTTTATAAAATAGGTAAATCTCGTGACAAGCTTTTATGTCATATAAATAGTGTAATGCAATAAATTGATGGGCTTGATTTAATTTAAAGTTTATTTTCCTCTTTTACACTGTAATATTCTTTGTTTATAAAACGTACATTCTTACGAAAATTTTGTACAGGCGAACGAAATTTTCTTTTCAAGCGATAATAAATTGATTGTGGTGGGTTACTTCCAGTAAAAACAGATCCCGCTTATTGACCAATAATATTTGGTAAACAGCACTGCGCAGGACCAGGTTATACTGGAAATGAGTAGTTTGATATATTATCGTGCGAACTCACGGTATCTCAAACAGTTTAATTTTATTTTATACAGCGACATTCAGGAAAATATTATGAAGACATAATGTAATCCCACAATCAATTCTGAGATCCCGAGGCATGTCCATATTAACGTCAACATTTAAGGTCATTGATCCTAACTAGCACTACCTAGGTCGATCACTCATTAATAATAATAATAATATAGGTCTTTATTCAGACATGGTTTACAATAAAGATTACAAACTATATCCATTTTTTTTCCTTTATACACATGTATGACAAATAACTTGGGATACATATTTGATTGTGTTTTACTTGTTCTATATATATTTTTTGTATATGAGTAAGATGACTGTCTCGAGAACCCTTTTTTGTCTGTTTGCTCTTTGTTGGCAATCACTCATTACTGAAAAGCAATTTAATGCAGTTTTTTGCTTAAATTCACTAACGTCTAAACTAGTCTCAAACCTGTATTTCAGATGCACTATTGAAGTATCAGTGAGAAAGTGAATGATTTAAGGATTTTTATTAAGTTTTTTTTATATAGGTGGGTGGTCGCAGTGTTGTGTGTAAGGAGGTGGAACAACACGTCGCGATATTAGAAGAGGAGGCCAAATTCTTCAAACTTCTAGAAATACTAGGATTGTACAGTCAAATGGGCAGTATCATAGTGTTTGTGGATAAACAAGAGAATGCCGATAGCCTGTTGAAGGATTTAATGAAGGCCTCCTATCCCTGTATGAGTTTGCATGGGGGTGAGTAGTTTTAATGATTTTTGAATGTTTGTGTGTATTTTTTGTTAATTTTATACACACAGACAGTGGTAGCCCAAAGGTAACATGCTAGTTTGGGTAATCGAGTGAAGCAGGTTCAAATTTCGGCTCTCGCACCTCTGATATGTTCATGTGAGAATCATTTCCAATATGATTACTTACTACACTTGTCTTTCGGTGAAGGAAAACATCGTGAGGAAACCTGAATGTCTGAGAGAACCTAGCAAGTTTTCAAAAGACATGTGAAGTTCGCCAACCCGCACTTGGCTAGCGTGGTGTACTATGGCCTGACTCCCCTTGTAGTAAAGGGAGCCCCGTGTCCAATAGTTGGACGTTAAAAAAGGGTTGAATACAATACTTACATTATAATGACTTTTAATATTTGAATATTGTAATAATATTTGGAATTAAGCTTTTGACTTGAGTCATTTGCTACCAACTTCTTTGGGACCAGGGAAGGTCAGTCTTTATTAGACAAAGTCTTGATTAGAGATCTTGATAGATAGAGGAATAGTTTAACCTGAAAGTACATTCTGAAAGTTGGAATTTTATTTTAAATTTATTCTGCTCGTTCTTAAGGAAGTTTTTTACCGATTTCAAAAAAGGAAGAGGTAGGTACATACTTAATTCGGATGTCTATTTTATCTTTTATTTTGTGTCTATGCCACGTGATGTCTTCGCCATGTGGAAACCGATTTTTATTTTTTTTGATAAATGGTTGTTTTCATGAAAAAAAATCCACTTAAAAGTGGAATGATTTTTAGGTAAAAAGTATTATGCATTACTATATTCTAATATTATATAGGAAACTAGCGACTCATCCTCGCTCCGCTCGGGTTCGTCCCTAGTTACGTTTTAACGTTTTGTATAGATTTCTCAGAAATAAGACTCGGATAACCAGCTATCATCATATGAAATTTCATCAAAATCTGTCCAGTGGTTTTCTCGTGATGAGGTCACAGACAAACAGACAGACAAAAATTCTAAAAACTATAGATTCGGCCTCTGTATCGATAATAAATAATAATATATATTTCAATAAGATTTTCCAAAAAATATTTAATGTACAGATTCGACTCCGAATTTTATTATATGTATAGACTAGCGACTCACCCTGGCTTCGCTCGATTTCGTCTCTAGGTACGTTTTAACGGTTAGTATCATATAGAAATCTTTGAATTTCTCACCTTTCCTGTACTATAATATGCATGTATTATACTACTAGTATAGTATTATATGATCTGTGATTATACATATAAACTTTCCTCTTGAATCACTATCTATTGCTGAAAACTGCATTAAAATCCGTTGAGTAGTTTAAAAGATCTAAGCGAACTGACAGCGGAAGCGACTTCATTATATGCTATGTAAAGATGATAATATGTATATTGGACAAATGTGTAGTATCTTTTTGTTAATCAAAAATGATAAAAATGTCATGTATAACGATAGACATGATATTTTCATTATTTCATTTCCCATGCAAGTTTGTTTATTTATTCATTATTATGTATCGATTCATCCATTATAATTGTACAGTATTTAGTATACTATTGTTTTTTTTTACTAGACTAAGGCATAGTGTAGATTCACAGAAATTACATAGAAATATTTGTGTGTTTTTGCATATTTATCAATTTTTCGGGATTTTTATCTAAATTATGTAATATATTTTATTAATAATTAGAAGTTATTATATTATATGTACATAGTAGAAAAAAATACTTATACAGTGTTCAATTTATCAATTTTTATTTCAGCTTGAGTTCCTGATATCACGAGGAGTCTTAATGACACCAACGATTTAATTTTTTTTTGAGTTTTTGCGTACTGTCCTTATAATTATTATAAGAATATTTGCTTGGTTATTTATATAAATACAAGTTATAATATTTTCTTAGATATTTCAAATAAAACTATCTTTTCGGATTATTTCGCAGATTTATTTTGATTTTTGGTTCCCCATCCGACGTTTCGAATGCTTTTCAGGAGAGACTTTAAATAATGCCAATCTAAATAAATATTTTATATTTTTTAAATTACATATTAATCAATAAAATTGCTTAAATAAATAATTAATATTTTTAATTTTCTTTATTATACACATTATGATATGTAATTGCAACACTAAATGATAATATTAAATAATAGTTTTTAAAAAATGTAATAATAATAGCTAAAATTAAATAAATAATATTTCCATATTTAATTATACCTATCTATAAAAAATGCTTAGGATATAAATCAACAAAACACTCTTACTTCGGTGCCATTATTAAATTCTTGAAATCATTTTGTAAAATTGTGTGTATTAGGTATGTAACAAGCATATGAAAATACCAACAATCAAAACTAATCCGCGAAAAAATCCGAAAAGATAGTTTTATTTAAAATATACAAGTTATTTTCCATAGTACCGTATATTAACACTTATCAGTAGAATTAAACCTTTGTAGCCGCTATATCTTGACCTTTCCTAATACTTAATTGAATTTATACATTATTTATTATGGACTATGTTTAAGGCATTATGTAAGAGACTTGTCGTACACTGTGTTACCAACAGACAATCTTTATTACATTTATCATATCTATATCCCAGACTAACAAAATAATATAGACGAAATCCGCCAAAAAAATGACAAAATCAAAAATGGTAGTCTCTAAGCTACTATTCTTGATTTTGCCATACAGATTGTTAGTTTTCTTCAAAGAATAAGGGAAATTTTATATCGGTATTAGTCGTTAATTTATAATTTTTGAGATGAAAATATGCGTGATAAAAATAATAATATATTCTTTATATTTATTAAGCATCAATCATCAAGTCATCTTCATATTATAATAAAATAAAAAAAAAGCTATATTTTAATAAAATCCCTTAGCTATATTTATTTATTAACATTTTACAATTTGCTTATCACAGTAATGAGTATTCAAATAATATTTGTGTACTAATTTCAAACATTATATGTTATTTTAAAGCATTACTAGCGACTCACCCTCGCTTCGCTCGGGTTCGTCTCTAGGTTAATTCCCCATACAAACTTTCATCCCCGTTTTCACTTCCTTAAGGGTTGATTTTCGGAATAAAAATATTCCCAGGGTCTCAAAATATCTTCTAACCAAATTCAATCTAAATCGGTCCAGTAGTTTTTGAGTTTATTCGTTACAAACATACAAAAATACAAATCTTTCTTTATAATAGCAGTATACATGTCGATTATATTTGTTTTTATGTTTAGTTTTCTGACACTCTGTTTATATTATTCCTTAGTCCGAGATCTATATATCAATATATATCTATAGATATGATGAGATGATGATATATATATATATTATAGATCAAATACGACGGAAAGTTTACTGGCAATTTTTATTTGTAACAAGTCTCATCACGCGAAAGGCTTTATTTACGTCAATGCCATTTAATTATCGCTTCGTGATATGCACTCACTTGAGAATGCATATTCCGAGTAGATACTAATTAATAGTTATTTATGTATCAATGACGCATATTAATGTTATGCGTATGATAGTTTGGGTTCAATAGATTACTAACATATTACATAAATTTGGTCCAAAAAAAATACAAAAATTATAATAATTATTTAATCATAATAATTCAAATAATAATCCAAATATCTTCAAAATAATAATCATTACGATACGTACGATATAGTGATACGTATCGTAAACATATTTGAAAAGTAACAATTTTATTATAAAAATAATAATGCGACAATAATAACATATTTTACATATTAGATATATCGCATTTCATATAATATTATAAATGCTAAAGCTTAGATGGGTGGATGTTTGTTATTCAATCACGCCAGAACGGCTGAACGGATCTGAATGTTTGGCATAGAGATAGAATATAGTCTGGAATAGCACATAGGTTACTTTTTATCGCGGAAAAATGTACGGTTCCCGTGGGATAGATTTGTTTTTGTTGTTCAAATAGTGCTAAAATAAATTTAAGCCAAATTGACATATTTGATAATAATATCAAGAAATTTTCTCAAAGCATTAAGCATAAACTCAATCATCCTTGTTATAATATGTATTTTGCAATCCTCTCTGTACACAAATATTATGTTTAGGTGATTTTATGTATAGTTTGTATTTCTATTCGCTCCATTTTTACTTATAAGTGGAAACTTTATTGGCTGATGAGAAGATTAGTTACATATATCTGTATTATAAAAGCTGTTTGTTTCCCAACAGAAAATTATAAATAAAATAAAAATTTAACAGGACAGTACGCTGAAACTCGCACACAAAAGCGACATATATATTAATACCGCCTGTTACAGGTATTGATCAATTCGACAGGGACTCGACCATCGTGGACTTCAAGTCTGGTAAGGTGAAACTCCTCGTGGCCACCAGCGTGGCGGCCAGAGGCCTCGATGTCAAGCAACTGGTGCTGGTCGTCAACTATGACTGCCCCAACCATTATGAGGATTATGTTCATAGGTAATATAATAATAATATGTTGGGTTATTAACACACAGCACCATTTAGTTACATGGTAAGCTACGAGGCTTGTGTTATGGATCCAGATAATTGATACAATACACATATAAAATACATAAATGTTATAAATATAAACACCCATGACTGGAGTACAAAGATTCGTGCCCATCACACAAATGTGACTCCAGCAGGACTTAAACCCGTTACCGCTGGCACAGCAAGTAGGGTCACTACTTGCATCCCCATTTTCACCCCTTAAGGGATGATTTCAGGGATAAAAAGTATCCTATGTCCTTCCCAGGGTCTCAAACTACTTTCTTATTAAATTTCATCTAAATCGGTTCTTTAGATCCAGAGATTATCCCCCACAACGTCACAAACTCACAAACTCTTCCTCTTTATAATATTAGTATAGATTTAGACTGATGTAAATGTGTCGGCAGATGCGGTAGAACAGGCCGCGCCGGCAACAAGGGGTACGCGTGGACGTTCCTGACGCCGGAGCAGGGGCGCTACGCGGGCGACGTGCTGCGCGCCTTCGAGCTGGCCGCCGCGCCGCCGCCGCCCGAGCTGCGCCAGCTGTGGGACACGTACAAGGAGGCGCAGGAGAAAGAGGGCAAGAAGGTGCACTCCGGCGGCGGGTTTAGTGGCAAAGGTAGGAGTTATTATTTGGTTAATATGTGTGTGTGTGTGTGTGGAGCGATGTGACTCTATAGCCTCTGGGGATCCAACTATCATGCACCAAGCGAGTAGCTCCTGGTACTTGTCTGATAGCATAGTGGAGGGGAGCAACTTCTTAGTTGTTGTGGTCTGCTTCGGTAGGCAGCCGTTAGGACCTTTGGATTCAGTGCATGACCCTTCGACGCCTTATTAAGAGGAAGGAGGTTCCGTTATGTTTTGGTGGGTAGTTTTTTTTAGCCAATGAGTCCCACATATCCACCTGTATGTATGCAAGTGGTAATCGTAAATGCATTTACCAACAAACAAAATTGTGCTTTATTATTGCGTAGTATATTTTGTGTAGCACTATTGGTCGTTTCGACCAGGTAAATAAGTCGTCATATTGTGTTTTCATTTTCTTATTTATAATTTAGTTTGTCATTTGAGGAATTTTTGAGGGAACAATTAAGTATACATAATTATAATATATACGCAAAATATTTTGTAAAATATAGATATTGCCTTTTTTGTATATTTTAATATTTATTTATCTTCTAGGTAATGTAATATGGACAATATACTTAATTAAGATAATATATCTATAATAATATATTAAAACATTCCTACCTATATCTAATTAGGTTTTACTCATTATTGATTGTTTCTAGGATATAAATTCGACGAATCAGAAGCTCAAGCGGCAACGGAGAGGAAGAAATATCAGAAGGCAGCCCTCGGTCTGCAAGACTCGGATGACGAGGATGTTGAAGGCGACCTCGACCAACAGATAGAAACTATGCTCGCTGCTAAGAAAATTGTTAAGGAGATTAAGGTATTTGTTTTGTTTTATTTTTTTATGTAGCTACAGAGCTAAGCTACTCGTAATATTACAGATTAGAAACCTTCTTTATTTTAAACTTTTGGAAATATATTTGTGCATACTATGTGTCTACTACATGCAGTTGTATGTATTATCGCCCATACAACTAACTGCTTATGCACACACACCCACACACATACACACATACATGCACACAGACACGCACACATACAACTTTTGCATTTATAATAATTATTAGTACCTATACAACAGATTGTGTTTATATATGTAACAGCCGGGCGTGGCCACAGCAGCCCCGCCCGCGGCGGCCGCCAGCGGCGCGGACGGCAAGCTGGAACTTGCTAGAAGGTTGGCGTCGAGGATCAACCTGGCCAAGGGCTTGGGAGTGGAACAGAAGGGCGCGACGCAGCAGGCGGCCGAGGCGATACTGAAGGGAGCGCCATCTGCACATACACTTATAACTGTAAGTATTGTTCCAAAATGGATTTTGTGGTAGTATTTCGTATCAGTTTTGATGAATGTAGCGACGAATATTTAAAACTACGTTTAAAAAAACCGACTTTAAAAACTAAAAAGTATAAAATAATAAAGATTTAATTTAATACACCTCTTATGCAAACCTTTAATATTAATAAAATAGGATTATTTGTATGTGCTACCTATTGATAGGTTTGAAGTTGGTGCCAAGCCAAATGTAATAGTAGGTACCTACACTCGCCGCGATCTGAGAAATCTGTACTAAAGGCTAAAGAGAAAAATAAAGAAATCTATAATAATATATAGTCAACCTAAATGAAAACTTCTAAAAAGGCTGTACACAAACTAAAATAAAATTAAATCGTTCACGTAAACAAAAATGTTTAGAAAATAAAAACTACTGAGCCAAACTATGTTAAATTTTTATGGGACCAAATAGCAACTATTCCGTATCAAACTAAATAAGAATCACGTAAATCGGATCATAAATCTCAGCGTAATCGGTGTACATACATAAAAATATACCATTCGAATTGAAAACCTCCTTCTTTTTGAAGTCGATTAAAAATTATAAATAGCAGCAATTTATTATAATTTTATATTCATGACTAACTTTACTGCGATAAATAATAGTCTGTAATTTCTACTCGTTTATAAGATATTGACGAAATCTTAAAGAATTTAAAAAAAAAAAAACACTTCATGGTGTTTATATATAAAAAGGAATGAATGAAAACTAAACGTGTAATTATTGTCGTCGTATTGTAGTAGATCGCCACGTACCTGATTAACATACCAATACCCTGGACCACCAGGTTTTTCACGACATTTTATATTTTGAATACTTATATAATATATTAAGATAGTACTACCATTCGTTATCAAACCATATTATTTATCTAATCAAATTGTTTAATCAATTTAGTATTTGTTAAACAAAACAATCTTAATTCTCTCAATAACAAAGAAAATTCTACAAAATACGATCATCATAGGAATATTAGGTTTTTTAGATGTCAGTATTACATAGTTAAGTTTAATTGGATGATACCGTCACAAAATCAAACATAATAATACATATATACTTACATATTGCACGCATAATATAAAAACTGATCAATTATAACTTAGTCTGATTTTTTATTCCACGGAAATATAACAGCTATCATTCTTTGACAATTCAGATATCATATACCTTTTCTGCTTTGTATTTTTTTAATATAAAATAACAAAAAATGTGAATCAGAATTAGATCAAGTAAACTATATGTATGACATTGTAAATAGTCTTTGTTTTGTGCAATCAATGCATGCTAACTATAATGTAAATTTTTAATGATTAAATGAATAAAACAGAGTAAAACAAAATATTTTACAAACAAAGGGGTTTAACTAAAAAAGGCTTGTAACTTATGGATTAATGGACAGGGATTTCTGTAATAGAAAAATAATTTCCTTAATAATTATTGTAACTTCAATAATATAATAATAAAAAAAAACAATTACCATTTTAGAGGAATCAATATTTTTTTAAGTCTTATTTTTTCTCATTGAAACCTTAACTTCAAGAAAGGTTTATATTTTTGTTTTACTAAAATGCTTTCTGTTTTCAGTGACAATGTTTCAAAGTTGACAACACTTCTGAAATGTCAGAATTCCATCGAATTAAAAATCAGACTATAGGTCAGAATTGAGTTATTAAGTCAAAATAATTACACAAAACGAATCATACGTTTAAGTAATATCTGGAATAATTAAAATATATTAATTTACTTAAACTTTTTTTGTATGTAAGAATAAACAAACAAGGTCGTTAATGCAAAAATATTTTTCATGATTTATCAAATACTAGCGACTCCCCCTCGCTTCGCTCGGATTCGTCCCTAGGTTGATTCCTCATACAAACTTTCATCCCCATTTTCACTCCCTTAAGGAATGATTTCCGGGATAAAAAGTATCCTATGTCCAGTCCCAGGGTCTCAAACTATCTTCTTACCAAATTTCATCTAAATCGGTTCAGTAAATCCAGAGCTTACCCCCTACAACGTCACAGACTTACAATTCACAAACTCACAAACGTTACCTCTTTTTAATAGTATATATAGACTACGTTTTTCGAGTTAAGTCAGTGTTTTATTTAGCGTGTTTTTAGGTCACGAGTGTGTCGGTCACTCTATCGTCACATGACAAAATGAATAACATTGAGAATGTGAAAATGACTAAACAAAACCCAATGAAATAAGTAAATATCTTGTGACTATGATTTGTGATAACTTTGCGTACTTTTTATTGGTATAATTTTATTATCATACAGCCAATATTATAGTTATCTGTTATTATAGACAAATTGCTCTGAGAAATGCTAATATTAACTTATACTTACTAAATAGCTAAGAGGTTCCAATTAGAGTCGTCTTTAGACATTTAACGGAAAATTATTGAAGTACCTACTATCATATTTATACTTGTTTTAGCAAAATAAGTATAAATATATAGTAAATTATCTAATATATTTAAACGAGCAATTTTTGTATATTTATTTATTTATATCGGCGATCTAGGAAATGGCTTTAATGATGTCGCTGACATCTGATATATGAGGCTTTTCGGGGGCGAAAAATCGATCTAGATTTGTCTTATGTCTGGGAAAACGCTTGTTTTTGAGTTTTCATGCGTTTTTTTTCGCATTATTTCACGCAAGATATGGTCGCTAATTTCGCACATTCGGACATAAGCATCGTGGTCAAGCAGCCAAGATTAAAATTTGACAGTCACAGGTTCGAATCCCGGTCGAATACGAAGTTTTTACTTTCCTTTATTTTTTGTATTTATTGTATTCATTCAAGTTTTTAGTTCTTTTTTAAAAGAAAATAGTACTTTTGGCCAAAAACCCCGAGCGAAGCTCGGTCGCCTAGGTACTGATTTTAAGTATGTGAAAGGGGGATCCAGAAATTCCGAGGATTGGAGGGAGCGGAATAAGGGTTTGGACTCTAACTCAGTACGATCGTAATTAGAAACTCATTAATTGTACAACGTTATAACCCTAAAACATCAATCGGCTACCATTTCTTAATCAAAACAAAATAACCATATTTTAGTTTATATCAAAATTCACTTACTTTTTTATTATTTTAAATATTGGTTTTTACGTTAAATGGAATATATTATGTATATTCAATTGTATACTATTGTAAGTCAATATGAAAGGTTAGATTTATTTAATTAATTTAATACAATAATTGAAATGAAAGAAGTAATAAATAATTAACTAATAAAATTAACATGTAGATATCATAAAATAATATCAGATAGGTACAGTATATACCTACATAATAAAATCGTTTAAAACTGAACAAACATGTCGTTACATTTCGAAAAATAATTAATTAAATATTAATTATAAATACATAATTAAACGGTTTTTTTAATTCAACAAACGATTTATTCGTCAACTCTAAATATTTAAAACGAAACATATTATGCGTATGAAATTTGGATAGATTTATTGATACCTAAGTTAGACAAAAATATATATGGCCTGAAAAAGTTTGCTTTTGTATCTAGGAGAACGGTTGATCAATATTTTATCTATTGATTTAGAAAATCGATAGATAAAATTTTTATTTATAAATAAATCGAAACAAATATATTTATATGTATATAAATTTTATCAACTTTTAATATCATGTCAAATTACAAAATAATTTAGTAAAAATAGAATATAGTAGAAAAAATAAAACTATCTTTTCGGATTATTTCGCGGATTTATTTCGATTTTTGGTTCCCGACGTTTCGAATGCTTTACAGCATCCATGGTCACGGGAGAGACTGAGGTGTTACGTGTCTTGAAGGTATAGTTGTTACAGACAGCCTACCCACAATTAACAAAATAATTATAATAATAACAGCAAAAATTAAATAAATAATATTCCATATTCAATTATAAAACTAATTAAAATTATAAAAATGTTTAAAGTGCAAAAATATTGTAAGGTAATTTTTGCAATTTTCATTGTTTGTTAAGCTTACTAAGCCCCAAATCCCTTCATATTTTCGTTGTATTGGCCCCGATAACGGTATTCGAAGTCCATGATGTCTTGATAAAAACGTTCTCCTTGTTCTTCTGAATTAAATGAATTCGCGGTATTTTTAAAAACATCAGAATTATGGAACTTTTTTTCAAATATGATAACAAGAAAAAGGAAGAAAAACGATTTAGCCATTATCGTAACTACCAACAAAAGCAAACTTTCTAAGGAATATTGGTATTTTTCCTTTATTTTAAATCATAATAAATAGAAAAATCGTAAAATAATTTTTAGGACAAGCACACTTTCTTTTTCTTGTGAAGTTGTGTTATCTAATATTTAAAAAATCTATTTTTGATAAAATTCTGTAAACCTATATATATATATATATATATATATATAATACGTATATCTACTTAGAAATAAGTATACATATATTAACATTAAAATTCTATAGCAAAATCAACCAAAACCACTTCCACTCACAGGCAAAGACAGTAGCAGAACAGCTCGCAGCAAAACTGAACACGCGTCTAAACTATCAGCCGCGGGACGAGAGCAACGCGGAGCCGGCCGAGGAAGTGTTCAGGAAGTACGAGACCGAGTTGGAGATAAACGATTTCCCGCAACAGGCGCGTTGGCGAGTTACTAGCAAGGTATAATATTTTTTTGATACAATTTTGGTTAATACTTTCTCAGATTTACGCGAATATTTGACATTTTAAATAAAACTATTTTTTCGCGGATTTATTTTGATTTTTGGTTCCCGACGTTTCGAATGCATTACAGCAATCATGGTCACGGGAGTCTCTCCCGAAAATCAATATAAATCCGCGAAAGAATCCGAAAAGATAGTTTTATTTATAATTTTGGTTCTTTATCGTACGTTGTACTCGTGACATTTGGTGAACCAGAGCTCGACGGAAACAAGTGTAAAATTCAAGTTAAGTGTAATATTCGGACCGTCACGACACTTTTTATTATTTACTCATCTCATGCTCACTTCTTTCGGCCCACAGACATTGTGCGTCGGATGTGTTCTAGTAAATTAGGGCTTGCGACGTATTTTCGACATGGAAAATACGTCGCAATAGTAATGAGAAGATTTTAGAATGTATTAGTAATAACGAGTCTGAGCCCATATTATGGAACCCGAAAGAAGTCGGCTACAGGAGTAAGGATCTCGTATATGATGCTTGGGTTCGCTGTCCATTGTTTTTTGCGTTTGTTTATCTTGATAATCTTTACAAGGATGCAGTGTGGCTACACCCATTCGTGTGCACTCTGTGCAGGATTTTCTTTGTTGAGCTTCAACATTGTGCATGTTAGGTACGTTGTTAGGGGTTTATGATGTCCTAGTACTAGTGACAATTTTTATGATTAGATTTATTGGTCAAGGGCAGATAGCGAAAAATCTCGTTCCTAACGGGTGTCCCACGACACCTCTCGACTTTTTTTATTATGAACACCCACAACATACACAATACATTTTCAATAATATGTTCCTAATAAAAAGTTCTAAGTTCATGTAAGCGAATTACAGTTATAAAGTTTCAGTCCTTAATTGGCTATATTGGGGAGATTTTTAATATGATTTCCTATATATATTGTCTTCGATACAGGCTGCCATCACATGATTATCTTATATTGTTTTAGAATTTATAGGTTGAACTTTAAACACTTTCATTAAGGTTACATAATATGTAATTGTACCAATACGCTGTTAGTCTAGTGGCTAGTTTGTATGCAGATTATACCATTTCTGCCCTTTATTTCTGTAGATTTTAGTTGCGTGTCATTAACATGATAAAATAATATTCTTTATTATTGATTAATAACTTATTTTTTCATTTTATTATTTAAATAAAATTTAAAATATATATAAAAAATGTATTATTAAATAACTTAGTACGTTTTCTATAGTAGAGTCTTAATATCTATATCTTTAAATAAATATTGTAGATACTAAGTACGTATGCGACAGATTGTATAACAAATATAAGTTACATTTAAATAGCGTTTTTAAAATAATATTATATCCATATTATAATGATTAATTAATCTAAAACGTACGGATAGAAACAGGCACGTCTCTGACGTCACAAATTACCTGTACAGCAATACTGATAACTATCTAATCGGTAATCTGTCAAATGTTGATTCCGTTTTATATGTCTAATCTAATACATTTAAACGAGCAATTCTTGTATATTTATTTATTTATACCAACGATCTTGGACACTGGTCTAACGATTTCGCTGAAATTTGGTATATGGGGGTTTTCTTTTTCGAGGTTTCATACGGTTTTATTTCGTATTATTCCACGCAAAATATGGTCGTTAATTTCGCACGCTCGGGCATCGCGGTTAAGCTGCCAAGGCGCAAGATTGAGAATCACAAGTATCCGTTAGTATAGTTTAGTTTTTTTTAATCTAAAAAATAAACAAAAAAGAACTCTGAGCGTAGCTCTACTAGGTACTAGTTATATTATATGATATGCAATGCATGATATACAGATAGTACATGAGTACATACCTCATAGTTACGTTATTTATCCTTACTGAGAATAGTTTCTTAGATTTACGCGAATATGATATTTTGAATAACACTTTTTTTTCGTATTTTTTTCGCGTTTTTTGAGTTGAAACATCTATTGGCCCGCCTTGGTAGTAAAACCGATTCGTATGCCGTGACGGCGAACGGCATGACGCTGTCATGCCACCCTTGTCTGCGCGCGCGCGTGTACTTTACACGCTCCATTCTAAAATAGTCCATATTTTCTATTATACTTATATATCTATATTTTTTAAATTGATTTTATTAGCGAAACTCTATTTTTTTTTATTTTACTCTATATTTCGTTATAGGTTTTTTAATAATTATGAAATGTAATATTAACATAGATTTTTCACGTCTGTCGGGCGTCCCTCGTGATGGCCAACTGCTTTTTTTGGATTTTTTGGTTGCGGACGTTTTGAATGCTTTACACTTTACAGAAAGAATATTCATTCACGAGAGAGACTATAATTAGAATATTGGGAAATTAATCCTCTATATTTTTGGTGACAATAAATATATTTTTAATGGCTAAATTAATAAAACACGCGGGTAAAGTAAGCTTTTATATAGGTATTGATATTATTCTTGTTCGAAAGTGCTCATCTCTGACACTAACAATCCAATTTGAAAAATTATTATTACTACTTGTGGTCTATTTAGTTAGTTTATTAGTTATAATAAGAATAACAAAAATCTATTGGACACGTTTTAGAGATTACAATTTCAAATTATGTTTTTTATATTATGATTAAAATTATGTTCGATAAAGACAACATTAGTTTAAAACTGTGTCGTAGTCTTAAACGCCCACCCAGATCCAGATTATATTAATATACATTTGTTCCAATTTACGATTTAAAAGTTAAATTTAAAATTTAAGTTGTAGGTAGGTAGTTAGTATTTAGTTTAGGCTCTATTTCGTATCACCCTTAGACCAGGCCATTAGGAGCGGATAAATTATAATCTATACAGATAAATAAAATTGAAGTGTCTGTTTGTAATGTCAAAATAACAGCTTTTTACTAAATACATGTGAAATTATATACGGTATTTATGAAAAAAAAAACCACAATGTTTATTTTTTTTTCGTCTGTCTGTCTGTTTGTTCTTTTATTTTAGAAAAGGAATTCGGGTCGTGCTCAAAAAAATTAAAACGTACCTAGGGACGCGCCCGAGAAAAGTACATAAACAAATAACGATCGTGCAACGTTGTACAAATCAAAAACAATTTTTTATATCAATTGGATTGGTTCAAATAAACGATATATATATATATATATATATATATATATATATATATATATATATATATAATAAGTATAGATAGGTATGCGTAGTATGAAAATTTCATATAATATGTATTTTATTTGCTTTCTACACCTTCATATTTTACTATGTACGTATTTCTGTTTAGAATCTTTATTTCTCATTAAGAATAACAAATTCACTTACATGAGAAAACACATTAAATATTATAACATTCACTAAATGCGAGTACGTACAAGTTACATTTGTGAGAAATACATAGTATGCGGGTAATCCTCAAAAATAATACTTAAAACTACAAACAAGTTAACAATACAGTTAGAGCAAAGCGCTAAGAATAAAGAAATCATGGAAATGGCAAAGACTACATTTTACTTTAAGTTTTTTAAGATATAATATTTTAGCGTTTTTTTAAATGTTGTAATTGTTTTTGATTCCTTTATATCTGTTGGTAATTTATTATATAACTGTGCTCCTTCAAACATAATACTCCTTTTTCCGTAGTTAGTTCTCGGGGCGTATAAGACTAAGTTGTCGGCATTTCTTAGGAAATGCTTTTGAATTTGTTGTTTTTTAGTGAATTTTATGTTAGAATGTATATCTCCGCTCAGCACTTTTCTTATTAGCATACATGTATTATAGGTATATGTTTGCGTCACGCTCAATATATTCGTTTCTTTATAGATTTTCTCTGATGATGTTAAGAAATCATATTGAAATAAAATTTTAATGAGTTTATTTTGTGCAACTTGAATGGGTTTTATATTAGATTTAGCGGCTGAACCCCAGACTTCGATAAGGTAATCAATATGAGGTTTCGCTAATGTATTGTATATTATATATTTGACTTGTTTCGGAAGACATCTAACAAAATTTCTGACGGATCCCATGAGAGATAATAACTTTCCACGTAACTTTTCTAGATGTGGCTTCCATGTGAGATGACTATCAAGGGTTAGGCCAAGATATTTTTCACTTTTAACTTTATTAATTATTTCGTTATTTATTGTAAGAGGTTGGTAATTATTAATTCTTTTATTTTTGGCCGAAAATATTATATAATTAGTTTTTTTAGTATTTATTGTTAATAAATTATATTGAAACCATTCATTGAGTATATTAAGGTCATTCTGTGCTTTATCTATAATAGTATCAATAGAATTACCAAAGTAAAATAAACAGGTATCATCAGCGTAGAGGGTAATATCTCCATATAAACCGATTTCTTGTATATTATTTATATAAATAAGAAACAAAAGAGGTCCCAAAACCGATCCCTGTGGGACTCCACATGTAATTAAAGAAGGTCTACTCTGATTCTCCTTTATTTTAACTATTTGATATCGATTCTCAAGATATGATTTAAGCATTTTATGGGCATTACCAGTGATACCTATGCTCATCAATTTCATCAGAAGTATTTCATGATTAACTGTATCAAAGGCTTTTTTTAAATCTATGAAAATACCTAGAGCAATTAATTTTTTGTCAATGTTTATTTTAATTTTTGTTATCAGGTCGATTGTAGCTGACAGTGTGCTAGATTTTGGTCGAAAACCATATTGTTTGTCGTATAAAATTTTTGTGGCACCAAGATAAGATTCGAGACGAATGTATATCACCTTTTCAAATACTTTAGATAATACGGGTAAAACTGATATAGGACGATAGTTTCCAGGATCAGTTTTGGAGCCAGATTTGAATATGGGGGTAACTTTAGCTATTTTTAAGCTATCTGGGAAGGTACCTTTTTCAAGGCACTGATTAATGCATTTAGTTAGATTACTTAGAATAAGAGGTTTAATGAATTTTATTACCCTCGTACTTACCTCGTCAAAGCCTGTCGATGTATTAGAATTTAGGTTATTAATAATTTTTTCAATTTCTTCAGGAGTAGCTGGAGTAAATTCACAAAGATTATGGCATGTATTATGTCCTTTTGGTAGAGTGTAAATTGTATTATTATGATATTTTTGGGGAATGTTATGAGCTAGTAATTTGCCAATGTTAGAAAAGAAGTCATTAAAGTATTCGCAAATTAGCTGTTGATCTGAGATTATATTATTAGGTGTAACAATGTTTGAAGGAACAGAGTCTTCCTTAATTTTATTATTACATAAGCTACTAATTAAGTTCCACATTTTTAACGGTTTCATTCTTGCATAATTGAAAGATTTTAAATAATACTGACTTTTTGCTCTTTGGATACTTTCCATAACGTTGATTCTTTCAATTTTAAATTCTTTTTCTATGTTTTCATCTTTTGGGTTATTCTTATATTGTTGCCATAGGAGATTCCTTTTATCTATACTGTCTATTATATTTTTATTGATCCAATCACTTCTAGGTGGATTTAGAAACTTTACTTTCTGGATCTTATTTTCTTTAATGCAAGTGATAAGTCTTGATTCTAATTCTGTAAATTCTAATATTTCATGTGTATTATATATTTCAACGGCTTTATAAATGTTTTCATAATTCAATGCACTATATTGTATTTTCTTCAGTATATTAGGCTTATATTTTTCTATTTCCATATAAATTTGTTTATGATCGGACATAGCCGAGTCAATAATAGCCAGGTGAAAACAGTGTTCTTGTAGATTTGTGCAGGCATGGTCTAATATGCTTCTTGTTTCTGGAGTAACACGAGTAGAATAGTTTGAGTCAATTTTATTTAGCGCTACAAGACCATATTCTTCAAGTGCATCTATATATTCCTTACTCGGTTTATCAGGGCAGAGAAGGTCAAAGTTAAAATCTCCCATAATTACAGCTCGTTTTTTATTAGACAATTGAGTAGAGTAAATTTCGAGAAAATCTGCAACATTCTTTCGGTTATTTTTGTAGATAGCTCCAATATCCAGACAGTATTTATTAATGTGTATCCACAAATAATGATTTTCTTGTATGCAATGGTGTTCTATTAGATTATGCTTTAGACTGTTGTGAATAAAAATGGACACTCCACCCCCTCTTGAAACTTCTCTGTAGTTATAATAATGTGTAAAACCTGGCAGAACTTGTTTTTTTGCTTGATCCTCTGATCTTATCCATGTTTCCGTAATAATAACAATATGTATCTGATATTTAAAAGACTGTAGAATGCATTGTAATTCATCTAACTTACCCTTTTTAACTATACTTTTAGCATTGGTGTAAAAGAACTTTAAAGATTTTTTAGAGGTAGTTATATCTGAATACTTTTTAGCTATTTCATAGGTCACTTTATTTCCCTTTAGCATTTTTGCCTCGCCTCTGGAGATAATGGATTGGACTTTTTTGGATGTTTCTGTACAATCTTAGGTACACCATTTTTATACTTTATGGTCAGATTTTGTTCGCCATTATTAATGCGCAGATCTAACTGATTCTTTACATTTTTAAAATAAGCCTGCTGTGCTGGTGTTAAATCAGAGGATATTTTTATGTCATTAAGTTGCACATTTCGTTTCAAACGTAATATAGATTTAACGGGATCGTGATTCTGAAAAATAGCTTTTATTGGGCGACATTTTTTAGCATCATATTTTCCCAGGCGATATATATTTACTGGTTCTGGTATATCTTTGGAAATCATTTTGACGATATTTATAACTTCACACTTATCAGAATCTTGTCTTTCACGGTGATATTTGAGAAGTGGTTCAGGTACACCTTTTAAAATAATATTGTTTTCGCGACTTTTGCGTTCACTTATCTCCGACATAATATGCTCACTGTCGTATGTTCTTTGTTGTGGTGAAGTTACTTGGAGTTGTTGTATTGTAGATTCAAGAGAAATAATCTTTTTATCTTGGTTTTCTGATGAATTTGTTAGGTCTGATAGTTTTGTTTTAATTGAGTATTGTTCTTGTACAAGGTTTTCAGTTGTAACTTGCATATTATTCATCTGATCTTTAATTGATAGTATGTCTTCCGACAGTTTTTTAATACTTTCATTTTGATTTTTCGTGAATTCTGTGAGAAAATTCATCATTTTATCTATTTTTTTATGCAAGATGTCTATTTCCCGCTTTATATCTGTATCTATTTCTGGTTGCTTTCTCTTCCGTGTAGTAATAAATGATTCTGCTGTGTTAGCTAAGTTATCTTCTACATATAATCCACGACTTGATAAATTTGTTAGGGAGCCACCTTGTCGCTGCCCGATGTCACTTCCATTAGGTGAACGTAGCATGTTCTATGATGCGTGCGAAACTATGATTAATAAATCACTAGCTGTTTGTAGTTATGAAAGACAAAAAATATGATCTTGTCTTTTTTACTCGAGGTGGAGCGGGGTGCACCGGATCGCTGCTGCACCGTACCCAGAAGACTTATGTGTCAAATAGCTATTCAGCAATAATTAACTCACTGTATAGATAATTTTAGTTTAAATTTGAATGTAGCACTTTTAGTATTTCTTAACAAAACCAACAAACACGTCTGCTTCGTACGCTCGCAGTCATAATTTTTCATTCATTATTTATTTCGCAGTCATTATTTATTTTGTATTAATACAATCTTCTCCGTATTCACTAATTACAACATATTTTTAAAATATAATAATAATATGTATTGTGTGTAGATATACATATATTTTTAACACCTTTATCGTACTCGTAGATATTGATATCTGATCAATGATCTGTCATCTTTTGTTTCCATTCTATATGTAGTTACTTGATATGAAAAGGATGATCGAGTTGGGTTTATACTTTTTCAAGTTTTTACCTTATCTCGAGTGCTTGTTACATATTTTGGAAATTATACGGCCAAGTGAGAGTCGACTTTGTATAGCCACATGATAGGTATACTTTTGTTGTTTTGTAAATAAAGAAAACTTTTTGATAATATAATGATTAGCGAGAGCTACACTTGTGTTAGTCAGTTTTTACTATTTGTTGTTTTATTCTAAATTTTGCTCTAGCTATTCTAAGTTAAACTCTACTTAAACTACTCCTTTTATTGATAAACTTATTAAATCTTAATCTTTATATGTTGTTATATTTCTTACAAATTAAGATATTACTTGTATATTATTTTACGTAAATATCTCAATCGGCTAACAATTACGACTTAAAAATGAAGACAGATGGCTTCACGGGGCGTATTGAGAGGTTTCCGTGACCTTCGAATACGGAACTCTAAAAACACGTGAATTCAATTGAAATTTATCTCCTTCATTCATTTCGACGTTCTGAATGATTGTATTTATCGGTGCGTGTAAATGCAAATCTACACTTTCGCTTTTTTGGGTTCTAAGTCAGGAGACTTCAAGTTGATTATTATGAATAATTTTATTAGCTATGTTTACGTCAATGTATTCATTTTCTGTTATGTTAAAACTCACATTTGTTTATCTTTTTTTAATGTAGAATATAATTGACAGATAATATATTAAAATACGTCATTTAAAATATCTTGAATAAATTAAATATGTTATAAAGATATTGCAAAAGAATAACAAGACAGTTTTTGTATTGTAGCTATTTTATTAGAATTTTTAGTTTGTTAGTATTCAAATGTGGTGGTCAATATCATTGAGACTAACAACGCGGGAATGCACAAGTTTATGTGCAAACTCGAGTGCACATACTATTTCTTCAACTCTGATATTTCGATGCGATGGCAATTCAACACGACCGGTGAGAGATCAGGCGCAGGACTGAAAGCTTTTTACCTTAGCACGGCCCACGGGTGTGCAACACTGCAAAATTTCCCAACTTCGTTCTGCTACTGAATATTTCATGAGAGTAAAACCCAGTATCTATTTTGGTATGACCCGATTTGGTATGACTTGAACCCAGGATTCACGACCTCATCTCACTAGAACCCAAAGACAATCAGTATTAACAATGGATATAATATATTATTTATACACGTTACAATGTATTAAATATAAATATTTTTCCACAATAACATGTTTGACTCTAAGTCGTAACCTTATTTACTTGTGGCCACGACTCATTTTATTGCCGTTGAGTCCATAAACTCATATAAATACATCGTTATGTCGAGTTCATAATATTAAAGATAACCCACCTACGATATTTATGCATCTAGGGACATTTCATCAGCTCAGTACATTTCCCAAGTTTGAAGTGAATAGTCACAATGTTGCTAAAGTTAGTTTTATTGTGTGGTCTCTTATTCCTATGTGTCAAAGCGATGAGAAGCCGCAGATGCTTCTATTGTCATTAATGTTTTATACAAGGTATTTATTTTATAAACACTGTCGAATACTTTTACGTGAAACTAGCGACTTAGCGTGGCTTTGCTTAGTTGTGATCTTAGGTGCCATGCACCTATGTGTTCTTCCAGGTCAGAGTCCTTGTACAAATTTTCATCCAAATCCTTCCAGCCGCTTTGATGTAAAAGAGTAACAACGCACATTCATATTTACAGACACACATGTACAAACTTTAGCGTGTATAATAGTACGTCCGATTATCGTGCTAAACTTAGGTACTTAGCTTATACTAGTATATTGAATTGAGAATTCGAAAAAGAAATATTTGTATATAAATGTTATTTCCTTGCTGTTAAGATATTGTGGCGTAGAATTGATGAAATTATCGGTATTAAATGGATTTAATGCCTTTATGGTGCTGCTAATTGAAACTTTCACAAAATATTATATCTATGTATTTAGGTTGACGTTAATTGTAAAAAATATGATAAAATTTTATTTTTTTTTTTATTTTCAGGAGGCGCTAGCGTTGATCAGTGAGTATTCTGAAGCGGGTATAACAGTTAGGGGTACTTACGTGCCCCCGGGCAAAGCACCGCCGGAGGGCGAAAGGAAACTATACCTAGCTATAGAAAGTTCGCAGGAATTAGCTGTCGCTAAAGCAAAATCGGAAATAACGCGTCTCATTAAAGAAGAACTCCTGAAACTGCAAACGTCGGCGCATCACATGATAAACAAAGCTAGATATAAGGTTCTTTAATGTGTGGAAATATAAATTGATGCATCTTTTACTATATTGTGTTTTATTTATCAATTATTATCAAAACAAGGTTTTTTTAATTATCAATTATTATTAAAGCAAGCAAGGTAGCCCTGTGGTAACGTGCTCGCTTGGGAAACCAAGTGAAGCGGGTTCAAATCCCGGGTCTTTCACCTCTGATATTTTCATATGCGAATCATTTCTAACAAGGTTACCACTTGTCTTACGGCGAAGGAAAACATTGTGAGAAAACCTGTATGTCTGAAAGAAAGTAAGTTTTTGAAAGACTTGTAGTCCGCTAACCCGCACTTGGCCAGCGTGGTGGACTATGACCTGATCTCATATTGAAGGGGGGCCCGTGCCCAGCAGTGGGAGTTAAAAAAAGTGCTGAATAAGGGTTTTTAATCGTTGTTGTTTTATTTATTATCATTAATTTCTGACCAAAAAGTTCTCAGTCAACGTAATATAAGTTTTATTTCCGCTGTTTGTATGTGACATTATAATTATAGCATTTCTCAAATACATAGGGAGATATCAATGTTTTTTTTATTTCAAAGCTGGCCCATTAAGTTAACAAAATAGGTATTATTGTGCTTCACCCACGTCCCGTTAAATGAAAAAAATATATTAAAAAGATTGGTTGGTAATAGATTAAAATGGGTACTATAAATTGCTTACCGTATATATAATATTCTAGTACCTATAATATTCTAGTTATTTTTATTTAACGACAAACAAAACTATAAAACTACGTAGCCATTGTTTAGCATGCATATTCTTTAGTACCCACCTAACTGAACTGAAATAGGGTAAAGGTCCATCGACTTTTGCTGTTTTTGCTTTTATTTTTTACTAGCGACCCACCCTCGTTTCGCTCGGGTTCGTCCCTAGCTTGATTCTCCATACAAACCCTTTAGGGATGATTTACGGGATAAAAAGTATCCTATGTCCTTCCCAGGGTCTCAAAATATATTCTTACCAAATTTTATCTAAATCGGTTTAGTAGATCCAGAGATTACCCCCTACAACGTCACAAATTCACAAACAACACACTAACTTTACCTCTTTGTAAAATATTAGTATAGATATATTTTTTCCTATCTATTATTATAGTATTATTCTATAAATAAAAATATTCAACATACTATTCGTACATAAAATACGATATAATTTTCGAGTTGCCATCAGGAGGAATTTGTAAGTGACAATATTGATATTATTATCACGCAGAATTGAGTCTCAGCGATACAAAATTAATACTCACATTTTATCTTTGCTAAAAATAAAAATTGAAGATATGTATCAATATCGAGATAAAATGAAGGGTTACTTTGAAGTATTTCAAGTGTATGAAATACACCCACTTGATAAGTGTATTTTAAAAAATATATACCTATAAGATAATATTCTACTTTAGATATATATTCTAAGAAAATAGAAATATACATACAAATATGTACATATATTAGATAAGTGTAATTTTGATAACAGTTCTTAATGAATTCTTCTCTAGTGGGTCACTAAAATGTACTACCTATAAATTATTATTTATCGACCGGAAATATAATAAAATTAAAATTTAACTTTAAATGAGACAATAAACCTTGCAAATTATGCAATATAGCCTGCGTCATATGTTTGAATGTTATTAAAATATATATATATATATATATATATATATATATATATATATATATATATATATATATCTATTGTCTTTTTTGGTGAATAATTAAAATATATATATATATATATATATATATTTTAATTATTCACCAAAAAAGACAAAATAAATGGTATTTTTTTTATTAAATAAAAAAGCCGACATTAATTACATAATGCATGTTGGTACTATCAAGTACGATAAAATGTACCTAATTAATATTATTTTTAATATTTGTTTGTCGTTTTCTGTACAATTTATAGAGTAGGTATAGGTTTCAATAATGCTAAGTAAAATTTTGAGAAATATTAGTTCATAGAAAAAAAAACTGAAGAGCACATAGGGTGTAGACTGTAGATAGAGCCTGAGCGAAGCGTGAGCTCTGTAATACAGAAAGTAATGTGTAGTAGCGTTTTAGTAATTTATTAGTAAAACTTTTTTGTAATTTATGAGTAAAAAAGTAATTTAGTAGTAATAAAGGCAATGATAGCCCAGTGGTAACGCGCTCGCTTGAGAAACCGAGTGAAGTGAGTTCAAATCCCGGGTCTCGCACCTCCTATATTTTCATGTGCGAATCATTTCTAACATGATTACCGCTTGCCTACGGTGAAGGAAAACATCGTGAGGAAACCTGCATGTTTGAGAGAACCTAGCAAGTTTTCGAAAGACATGTGAAGTCCGCCAACCCGCACTTGGCCAGCGTGGTGGACTATGGCCTGATCCCCCTCGTATTGAAGGGAGGCCCGTGCTCAGCAGTGGGACTTTAAAAAGGGCTGAATACATACATACATAAATAAATAAGAATGTACATTAACACACAGCACCATCTAGTTCCGTGGTGAGCTACGAGGCTTGTGTTATGGATACCAGATAGTTGATACACTACACATAAATAACTTTACATACTATACGTTATCTACTCATTATATCCTAGTTTATATGTGCTTAAGTTAAACGTGGCCGTCTAAAACCTACCTGGCGGCGGACTATCATTGATGAAGCGAAGACCATCGGGAAAACCTGGAGCGAAATCAAACATGAAGCTTAAAACCGAACGGGATGACGTTGCACTGTGGACGCACTCTGCCTCACCTAGAAGGATATAGGATTTAGGAACATAAGTCAATTACATTATCCAATCATCCAATTGGATTTTGTAAAAAAATATTAAATTTTTTATCGAAATTTTATCGAAATATTATATGTATATCAAGCAGACATCAGTGATATTTTGGTTTAGTCAAAGATGACGTATAGTAGTAGCAAACAAATGTCTATAAGAAATATAAATAGATTTCTGTTTTAATTTTGTTAGGTACACTTGCACATTTATTTACATTAATCAAGCTATCAAATTATAATGATATATGCATATAATTAGCAATGGAAAGTTTAATATTTACAGAAACATATAAACACATTCAGATTAATCACACTCGGTAGATATAATTTATACATATAGGTAATTGCAATGCTGCCTTGATGCTTTCATTGTTACGTCGAAATAAAACATTTTGAAGGAAAAAAGATTAAATTGGACTTAATGAGATGTGAAAATTAAGTGTTCAACAATAAATTTGTATAAAAATTAAATACCAGCTGTTGGTAGGTGCATCACTAGAGAACGGCTGGACCGATTTTGTTATTTTTTTAAATGTTTAAAATAGATAAAATAAAGTATTAAGAGCTAACAAGAAAATCGTAAAATTATACAGAAAATTGGGGAATTCTGTTAACAGAAAGCGGACGCGAATATCACAAACTAAAACTTACACAGGACAACGTTTGTCAGTTGTTCAACTGGTAACCCATAAAACAGTTTTATTTGATTTATAATTTGCCAAGTGCCATTTTTATTATTTTATATTTAATATCTACATTTAACGCGAAAAATCCACTTAAAACAAGAATAGGTAGCACTAAGATAACTGATAACAAAGAGCAAATGAAGATTGCTATTAATATCACATAGGCGACTACCCATTTCACTTCACCTACGTAGTGGAATGTTACATGCATATAAATAATGTTTATGGCAATTAAGGCCTGAATGGAGAATTCCAAGGAGATAAAGACTCGGCACGTGTTCTGCCATCCTAAGATAGTAGTATGTGTCAATAATAATAATTGTATCATCCAAATTATAAATAGCTCAGTGCGTCTCGTGCCGCCTCCGATAGTGAGGTTATCTCGCGGGAAGATTCCACAGCAAACAAAGTGCGTTTGCAGTCTGTTTGTATCGATGCTAGCTAGCGATGACTCTAAATATGAAGGAGAAAATCAAAATATTTTACTGAAATAAATCTATACTAATATTATAAAGCGGCAGACTTAGTGTTTGAACGCCCTAATCTCAGGAACTACAAATCTGATTTGAAAAATTCTTTTTGAATTTGATAGCCCGTTAATTAAGGAAGGCTATAGGCTATATATCATGTACATAATATATACTATATAGTCTGTCTATTCCATACTAACTGTTAAAACGTGAGGGTGAGTCGCTAGTGCAGAATTTCTTAAAGTGGGGTCGTCCTCGGACCCCCGAGGGGTCCGTAATATGTGTGCCAGGGGTCCGCAGCAGCTCATTGAGTTCTTAATTTTAATTAAAAAATTGTGGACTAAACTAACTCATCGTTTGTTTCATCCATCACTCTCGCCGGTCATTGTTGAGCAGCGCGAGGCGCGGAGGTACTGCACCTACAGTGTAGGTGCAGTCCACCCGTGTATGTATTGTCAAGTATGTAGGTATTTTAAATACTAATTACATTCTAAAGTATATTTGATAATATTTAAGTGTGAGTAAATTACTAATAAAAGTGATTTTTTTGTTTTTTTTTCCCAAAATATTCTTTAACAGGGGAGAGGGTCCGTGGAATTTTAGAAATTCTTAAAGTAGTCCATGACTGCAATAAGTTAACAAACACTGCGCTAGTACATTATTAGTATTAGACAGAAAGCGATGACTTTTCATATTTATTGATTTGGATTTTGGTTCAAAATGATTTTCAGTGTTAAGTAGATTTACATTACCCAATAATAAGTACTTATTTTTTCTTAAGAGTAATTTCAATTTAAATTAGAGAGTAATTGTTTTTTTTGAGCGACTTTAAAAATACTCAATTCTTTTATTTTTCTTATAATAATATGTTAAAGAACAATGTATTATATATATTCGTAAAGAGATTATTTACTTTCCCGTATAATTTTTACTTATACAATGTGCGAGAATAAGTAGGCACTTAGTACCATGTGATGTTTATGTAAATAAACGTATTTTACTTACATAGATATTAGTAGGTGTACTTTGGGCGCAGTTTAAGATAAAGATATGATT